CTATAGATCAGGGATTTCATAATCTAACTTCTGTGGAGACAAGATTGTCTTATCAGCCTTTTCCAGGCTAAAATAATCCCCAGAAGTATGGCAGCATTTAAAGAACTCCAAGACTTGCCAATCAACAAAACAGTGAAACACAGGCAGAAGAACATAGTTATACCGTTTTTAATATTCATTGCTGAGGGTGACCAGATTAACTAAAAGTTTTATTTTCAATATTGTTTCAGTGTACCTGTTAGATGTGTTTTCCTCAAGAAAAAATATACAATGACTAGAGGCACAGAAATGTAGCCCTATTGCGTATTTTGATTTTTTTAACATTTTATTTCCCATTGGTTGAACAACATGAGCAGTTTGCCATTTTTGAAGAAATGGAACTGTTTAAGACTGAATTTTCTTGAGCCTAGTTCACGCGTCAAATACAAAATTTAAAGCTGCATAATGAGCTTTCCTTCAGCTAGAGCCGAGGATAAATTTAAGCACCATTTTTCACATTTACGTGTGGCCCGTTTGGTGCCACCTTAGCATGTTGTATGAATCCAACCACTGTTGGACACTTGGCAAACTTTACTTCTCATGGGTGGATTAAATAATGGCTTGATGCAAGGTGAGAATCCAACTTCCTTTAAATTGTTAAATGAGCTAAACTGCTAAAGAGTTCTATTTTTCGGCTGTTCATGTCAAAGAAAAACTTCTGTTGGATACAATATCCTTATCTCAAAGTAAATAGAAGACAGGGACAGACTAACCTTTGGGGCTGACATAGTTATCATAACATGACAGTTATCTCAGTAACTCAGTAATATATATCAGTTGAGAAACTGTGATTAATGCAACCACAGTAAAGTTATCTGCGATTACCTTAATCCCAGTTTTTCAACTGATCTACATTGCTGAGTTCAAAGGAAACATTAAACTCGGTGTTTCTCAATTTTGGCAACTCTTTAAGATGTACGGACTTCAACTCCCAGAATTCCCCAATCGGTATGCTGATTTCTGGATTCTGGGAATTGAAGTCCACCTCCTTTGATGGGTTGCCAAAGATGAGAAATATTGCATTAACCCATCAAAGGACGGGCACCAAGCACTCGTCCAAAACTCACCTGTCCGAAGCTCGCTGTGAACCCAGCCTTGCTATCACCCGAAAAACTGGACTATTAAAGAAATCTGCTGCTTTGAAGCAGCAACACTAGATGAGATCCCATTTTAGTGGGAACAACAGAGAGAGGGATCTCGGAGTTTTAGAAAAGCCCATTCGTCTCAGTAGGCAAGTATACAGCAACGCGTGTTAAAAGGGATTTCGGATGTGTGAAAGCAAAGCGAAAGGGCGACTCAAAGGCGCAACATCAAATCACGCGCGTTTCCCGCCGCTCGGAAGTGTCGCCTGGCGATACGCCTCCCGCGCCAGCCCGCCCGCCCACTTTCCGCCTTTAATGCCAAGGTTTGGTGTTTGGTCCCCTAGGGCTTCCGTAAGGAAAGAGGAAGGGCATTGTGGGTCCCTCTCGTTCTTCAACGTGGGCTCTGGGCACCGACGGATTTCCTTGCCATGTTGGGTCTCCGCGTGGCCTCCTTTCTTGGCCGCCTTCTCAGAAGAGCAGCTGCGGCACAGCCTTTCCGCGCCCAGGTAAATCCCCTGGGAAACCCACCTGTCCTTTTCTGCGCGGCTGCGGATCGTTAGGAGCCTGCTTGACCTTGTTATACATGTTTTCCATATGGAACCGGCTATTCCAGACTGGCCTGGAGAAAGAGGTCTGCGGGCGGGATCGCACCTCCTCCTTACCCCACAGCCGCCCCATACACCCACTGTCAGTGATGGACAGTGATTATTTATACGCATTTATACATAAGGGTGATATGTATGCATATAGCATGTCAATATGCATGTTAGGTATGTGTACACTTTTGAGAGTATATTTGTCCGAAATGGTATAGGGTTTCCTGCCTGAGCAGGGGGTTGGACTAGATCAGTGGTTCTCAACCTGTGGGTCGGGACCCCATTTGGGGTCGATCGACCATCTCATGGGGGTCGCCAAGCAAGGCAGTCTGCCATTTTTTTTGTCCGCCATTTTTTTCCCCTTTTCCGGCGGGTGCCTTACCTCCCTTGGGCTGGGCCAGCTGGTGGTCGGCCTGCTCCGTCTCTGCCGCTTGCCAGCTACGCCTCGGCCGGCGCAGGGGACGGAACCACACATGCGCGGCGCTCCCGGGCAGGGAAAGTCCTCGACTTACGACCGGTTAGGTAGTCCTCGACTTACGACCGGTTTAGTCCTCGACTTACGACTGGTTTAGTCCTCGACTTACGACCGGTTTAGTTCTCGACTTACGACCGGTTGGGGTCGCGGCATTAAAAAGGTTGAGAACCACTGGACTAGATGACCTTCAAGGTCCCTTCCAACTTTATTATTATTATTATTATTATTATTATTATTATTATTATTATTATTATTATTATTATTATTATTATTATTATTATTGTGAGCCAGTGTGCCCACAATAAAAAAAAAGTGACGGTAAAGGTTATCTCTCTCCCCCCCCCTCTGTTTTTAAGATACGATAAGATGCTGGCACACAAGGCCTGCGATGCAGCCTTTAAAACAGACCGGGATTTATTGCAATTTCAGTAAGACCCCCTTAGAAGGAAGATAAAGCTGCAACTCTTGTGCTTTGCTTTCGCCGAGACCAGGGGTAGGCAACCTTGGCTCTTTTATGACTCGTGGACTTCAACTCCCAGAATTCTTGAGCCAGCTAGACAGTGGCATGCCTTTGCCTGTCTTTTCCTATTATTGTTCCGGCTTCCTCCCAAAATGCGAAGCTTCTAGCTCACCACCACCACCCACCTTCCCAGGTTGCCCAGCAAGCAGGTAGCAGCACCTAGTGGATTTCGGATGATCTCAGAAATGTTCAGCCTGGAAGAGGGCAATGGCAAACAGCTTCCATAGTACAGGTAGTCCTCGACTTAAAACAGTTCATTTAGTGAGCGAAGTTACAAGAGCACTGAAAAAAGTGATGTAAGACCATTTTTCACATTTATGACCATTGCAGCATCCCCATTTTCATGTGATCAAAATTTAGATGCTTGGCAATTGACTCATATTTATGATAGTTGCAGTGTAATCATCTTTTGCAACCTTCTGACAAGCAAAGTCAATGGGGAAGCCAGATTCACCTAACAATCGTGTTACTAACTTAATAGCTGCAGTGATTCACTTAACAACTTTGGCAAGAAAGGTCATAAAGTGGGGCAAACTCACTTAACTATTGTCTCACTTAGCAACACAAATTGTGATCGTAAGTCAAGGACTACCTGTATAGTATAGTATTTGATATAATATGGCTCCATACGACCATGCCCCCTCGATTCTTTCCTTTCTGCCTTCTTCTATTTACATATCTACATAACGGGTCTATCTGCCTCCAGGATGTCACTAAGATTCAAACTCACTTGAAAGGAGATTTTAATTTTACAGCGTGCTTCCATTTCTGAAGCTCCAATATCCTTTCATTTCATTTGTCCCAAGTCTGAAATATTCAGTTGATCAAAAGTATTTTCCAAATATTCATGTTTTAGACTGAGCATTCATCAATAAATTTACTCTGAATGTATCACAGTTTAAATGTTTTTTTAAAGAACAGTGTGAGTTTGGCACTATGAAAAAAGCCAAACCACATTTCTGTGTTGTTGTCAAGAAAACAAATGGGCATATCATAGAATCATCAGAAATCGAGCTCACTTTGACAGAAACAGTGGCGAAAGAACTGCTTGCTGACTGAAAGATAATTGGGAAATGAACTCTTAAGAATGTATAAGTAGAAGCTGACAGAATATAAAGGGATTCATTTTTCTGAAGGGTTCTCTGCTTTTAAGAGTTGTGTAACAAATAAAATGTGTATGCTTCTCCCATCAATACTTTTGCAAGTTAAGTAAGCCTATGTGAATGTTAAAGGGACAGGGTCTGATAAGAGAGAAAAACAAAATATGGAAACTCTGGAAGAAGTAAATTATCATCAACAAATTATCAGTATAAATCTGATACCATTTTCACTTCTTCACTAGATGGCCCATTTTTACTGAATCAGTTTTTCTCCAGAGAGTGGCATATGATACTGTTTCTCCCCATGGTATAAAAAAGCATCATTTGATGATTTTTCTCTCTACCACAAATGGGCAAGTTTTAGTAGTACATTTCTAACATAATTTTCTTCTCTTCAGAGGATTTTACCAGTCCTAGACAATTTCAGATAAAATATCATTGTCGTTAGTAGCCTTGGAGGTTTGGTACAACAGGAACTTTGCATAGCAAATGCATTTTTCAATAGCACGTCAGTATGTTTTGTGCTTATGCTATGTTGAAAAAACGAATTCCTCCTATATGCTGTACGCGTAGGGAGGTCCAACTGCATCACTTTTAACTTTTGCTGCAAGAGACCTTAATGCCAATGTCTAAATTTTGTTTAGGATTATGAGTATTTTTTTACTGTGTAATTTACTATTAATCTCTAGTGATTTCTCCTTACAAATAACATTTTTACTGACTGAACATTTTTATTGACATGGCGGAAGTTAAAGCTGAGCTGCGCCAATGGTTCAGTGGTTTTTTTAAAAAAACATGCTGGATCAAAATAAAATAAATCTCTGCAACATTTTGACTTTCATAATATGGAAGAAATGTAGGAGAAAATGGAATGATTTTTGATTGAAGTGAGATTTCAAATATATGTGTGTATTAATTTTTAGGCATCTTTGAAGAAATGCTACCCAAGAAAAATGCAGCGCTTCTGTCTGGGGCTTGAAAGTTACGGCTTGGAAAGCATGTTATGAACTAAAGCCAGAGATGAGCAGTGGTGCGTGATGCTATGAAAAAATGCACTGTCGGTTCCTAAATGAAACAGATCATGATATTTTACCATGGACTGCTTACATGCACATCTTTTGCTGTGCTTCTAGTCATTGATTAGCATAGTAGTTTCTAAATTGTTGTCTAGAGAGACCACTTCACTCAACCCTGAAGCTCAGTGTTGGTCAACTCCAGTATATTTGTGTTGTAAATTTCTTCCTATGCATGCTCTGAAAAAGGTTACTTAGCAAGCTTTGTGGATTACAGCATGGTTTTATAGGTTACTCTTGAGCAGTGTTGCAACCAGCTTGCTGGCTGGGGAATTCTGGGAATTAAAGTCTACATATCTTCAAGTTGCCAAGGTTGAGAAATACTGCCTTTAATATGTACTTGGTGTAACAATTCAGAGAAAAAGGACAGCATGGTTTCTCTAATTTGATCCCTGTTTCCAGATGGGGGAGTAATAGCTGCACACTAGAAACAATGTTTCCCGTAAAAATAATGATCAGACGGTTAATTATATGGATTACCAAGCTATTGACAAGATATGTCACCAGACCATCCCCAGATGTTTTTTACTAGGATCCCTTTCCTAAAAAAAAATTCTGGCCAGGATCAACTGATTTGGAACTAAATCACTGATAAGATGTGCTACCAAGGCTTCATCAGGTGCTATTTTGTATACTCACTGTCCCTTCTAGTATAAAAAAGTAGCAAAAGACCCCACCAAGTTTGAACCTCACCAAGACCTAAAAGTCCTAAGAGAGTATACAGTGCAACTCCTGGTCCATCTGCTGCAAGTTGAAGAAATGTGGATTGGCATACGTTTTTCTTTGGAATACTCTTAATACTTTTCGGCATTTCACCCTGGTTTTAGCTTATTGTCTCTGAATTCTAATTAGTTCCTGGCTGGCCATTGAGGTTGCAACACAATGTGTGAACCCAGGCAATTGGTTTATTCAATAAACCATGTAAGGACTAATCATGTGAACCAATTCAGTGTATTTTCATGAATAAACACTTTCTTAACATGACTCAGTTTGATCCAGAATCTGGTTGATAAAAAGATTTGCTTTTACTAAAAATGCAAATTGCTCCATTTCATAGGTACATCTTAATTATTTCAATGTTTTCTAGATAAATGTTTACCTTTATAACTTATATTAGAGTCACTTTATGCATGATATGTAACTTCCATTAGGACTTGGAAAATACAAACCCTCTGCATATTGTTTCTGATTCTGAGCTCATTGATGTGTTCCTGCCATTTTCTGTATGTATCTTAGGGCTTGAAAAGAAATTATTTGGAAAGAGTGTGTCAGATGTTGGACAGCAGCATCACCTGTCTGCCCTTTGTCAAAGCAGCCTGATTTTTTTTTCAAGTCTTCCTGTGAGCTGAAAAAAAAAATGCAAATGCTTTAAGAATTCCTTTGAAGATTCTTAATATGTTTTTAAAAGCTGCTTTGGAGATTTCAAGCTTTAAAACATTCCTTAAAGCATCAGCATATTTTTTTTTCCAGATTTAGACATAAGCTTGAAAAAATAGGTTACTCTAATGAAAGATGTGATACTTGAACAGAGTCCGAAACACTTTCTACTTTTGGAAGTGTATGATCCTGAATACATTTGTATAAGAAAGTCCGGATCTAACAATGTCTTCTTCTCTGGGAACAATTGAAGGTACTGTTGTAACTCACAGACCAACATTTCCTTAGACATCATCACTTCTTCCGTATCTTTTTATGAGCTCTTGTGTACTACTGAAAATGTTTGTCATAATGCCACCTGCACTTCAGATTCAGGAAGCAGTTGCTTAACCAGAAATCCCCCTTGTGAACTTCCAGAGCATTTTTTTCATGCATAACACCTCCTCCTTTATAATGGATTTTGGGAGTCTAGGAAGATACAGATCACTAACTGAATGAACTCTTTCTCAGTTTTTCTTTTTTCTTACTTCCTCTCTATCTTGGATTTTTTCCTCAAGTCTTCAAGATGAATGGCATAATAAGTGCTAAAGCACTGAAACTTGCATTTGATCCCAATGAATTACAGGTAGTCCTCAACTTACAGTGGCACTGAAAAAAGTGACTTATGACTGTTTTTCACACTTACAAGCGTTGCAGCATCCCCACAGTAATATGATCAAAATTCAAAATGGAGCTGACTCATATTTATGACAGTTGGGGTCATGTAATCACCTTTTGCGACCATCTGGCAAGCAAAGTCAATAAGGAAGCCATATTAAATTAACAACCGTATTACTAACTTAAGAACTGCAGTGATTCATTTAACAACTGTGGTAAGAAAGGTTGTAATAGGAGGCAAAACTCACTTAACAAACGTCTCACTTAGCAACATAAATTTTGGGCACAATTGTAGTCGTAAGTCGAGGACTACCTGTATTGTTAAAATGCAAAACTTAAACATGAATGAAGCTTTAACATTTTAGTTGCTAAAATTCCCAGGTAGTATCTTATTGATCAAATCATATATTCCATGATTAAAAATCCAGAAACTGTCATTTCCACCTAATTTTTTTATGTTTTTTTCTCTTTAAAGCCAAACGTGTTTCAAGCTTGTTCATCTTTTGCTACGGGACCCAGACAGGAAGTTGGCACTATCTATGAACTTCGTACTTACGACATTAAGCCAGCAAAGGCAAAGGAGTTCCTTGAATTGGTCAATAAATCTATTAAGATTCGTATGGTTCACTCACAAATGATTGGATTCTGGACAGCTGAATTTGGAGCAATGAATAAAGCATTTCATATTTGGAAATACGGTAAGAATTTGCATGGTGTTGTTTCAAAGAAGTTGAATCTGCCTTTTTAAAGTTATTTCTGCAAAGTTTGTTACCAGGTTATATGGATACCATCTCAGGGTTACAAATAACAACATCCAAAAGAGATTCAGGACCTTTGGGGCTAATGAAGCCAGTTTAGAAGCACTATTTTGTTAACTAAGCAATAGAAAAAGGCCAGAGTAATCATCCTGCTTGCCAAAGCACATCAGATTGCCTGCCAGTCAGAAAAGTTAGCAGTGGACGTTCCCATTCTTGCCTAGAGAATTCTGAGGCATCGGAGCTCACAATCTATAACTGCTAAAGAAGGCCCTGGTCTTTCTCTTTCAACAGCTGGAGTCTCTGACATTTGCTGAAACCATTTGGAGCTTAATTCACAATTTTCATAAGTACCGTATATACTCGGGTATAAGTCGACCCGAATATAAGCCGAGGGACCTATTTTTCCACAAAGAACTGGGAAAAAATGGTGACTCGAGTATAAGCCGAGGGGGCATTTTTCAGCACACACATTTTTCCGCCTGGGCTAATCGGCCTCTTTGCAACCCCACCCCTCTGGTAACCGCGCGATTGTAGCACTTTGCACAAAGGAGCAATAGTTTATAACACGCCCCACGTCAGCTGGAAGGGAAAAGCTGGGTGGGGAAGTGGGGGGGAAGAGCTCTGCCGCAGAAGTGCGGGTCGTGGGTGGGTGGGCGGCCATGCCATTCCAACCCCTCCCCCCGCATATGTATTGAAAGAGTTGCATCTGTAATTAAACTTTGAACTCGGTAACCTGCAACGCTGTTGTCTCGCGTTTACATGTCCCAGCAATTCCTCCTCCCAAATCGTCCATCACCCCCGATTTTTTTTTTTTTTTTTTTAAAAAGGTTCGANCAGCCGCCCAGCTCATTGCCGCCGCTGCCGCCGCCCAGCGTGTTCCTGCCGCCGAAGCCGCCCAGCTCATTGCCGCCGCCGCCCAGCTTGCCGCGGCAGTGGCAATGAGCTGGGCGGTGGCGGCGTTCGGCTGGCGGTCCCAGCCGCCCAGCTCATTGCCACCGCTGCCGCTGCCCAGCGTGTTCCTGCCGCCGCAGCCGCCCAGCTCATTGCCGCTGCCACCCAGCTCGCCGCGGCAGCGGCAATGAGCTGGGCGGCGTCGGCGTTCGGCTGGCCGTCCCAGCCGCCCAGCTCATTGCCGCCGCCGCTGCAGCCGCCCAGCTCATTGCCGCCGCCGCCCAGCGTGTTCCTGCCGCCGCCGCAGCCGCCCAGCTCGAGTATTGACTCGAGTATAAGCCGAGGGGGGTATTTTTCAGCTCAAAAATTGGGCTGAAAAACTCGGCTTATACTCGAGTATATACGGTATTAGGATTACGCTACAGTGCATGGCTCAGCAAAAACAGCATGTGAAGTTCTCAAAATAGGATGGGGCAGACTGCATATTCCAAGGCTGCATTTGAGAAAGTTCTGTTCTCTAGTACCAATATTAAGTTAAAACTTCTTATAAAAAATTAAGTTTATTTCTCTATAGTTTTGTACTTTTATCATGGAAGCAATTATGACATGGCTGTAGGAGTTCAGTCTCTTTTTTTTCTCCTCCCACAGATAATTTTGCACACAGAGCAGCTGTAAGGAAGGCTGTAGTCAATGATAAAGAATGGCAGGAAAAACTGGCAGCAATTCTTCCACTTCTGGATAAGCAGCATATGGAAATTGCTTACATGGTCCCCTGGTGTGAATTGGGAACACCACCAAAAGAAGGTCTGTTTTCTTGCTCCTTAACCTGTTGTATTGATTTTCAAAGCCGGTGAATTGAATTCTACAGAAATTCAGAAAGTGTTTGAGGAAATGGTCTGGGAAGATAGTAATATTGCTGGGTTTGGTATCACAGAGGTTTGCTAGAATTATGGAGCGCAACTGATTAACAATATTCATTAGTTTCTTATTGAGGAATAAGGGGATGAGCCAAGATGGCAACACACTAGCAGCTTCTGAAATAAACTCCTGACTTGCAACAGTCTTTGTCACTTCCGATTTAACTTGATACCCCCAAAATGGCTCCCAAGGACAAGAAAAGAACCCAGACCACACCTAGTTATGTTACTGGAACCCATAAATATCTTAACTGAGGTAATAAGTTTCAGCTTCCTTCCTTTTTCACTTACTGTTTTTTACTCTGGCTCTAACCAGCCTGTAAAGATACACATATGCCCCCCCCCAAAAAAACCCCACAGGCTAGTGGGAGAAACAAAATTGGGAATTGTCATATTTGCGCGACTTTCCATAGCTATGAACTGAAACCAAAACAATTACTTCAAAATATTCATTCTTTTAATCTCTTTTTAAAAGGTATCATATTTTTCTAGTCCTTATTTATATTTGTGTATGTATGTGTGTGAGAGAGAAATTACTATGTCTACTGCTGTCTCTTAAAATGATTTCGTATATTGGTAAAATGGGGTTTTTTAAATGGTCAAATTATATTTAAATATCTTCTGTTTGAGACAGGCATGGAATCTGTGGACTGATGGGCATACCTAAACAAATGTAATTCTGAATTATGGACCGAAAGTAAATTTAAACCCAAGCTTGCATAGATTTAAAGCAAAAAGTAAAATGAAATTGAATTTAGATCAGTGGTGAAGATATCGAAATAATATACTGTAAAAAATGAGTTGCTTGTTTTTAATCCCACTGCCTATAATAACCTGAAAATGACAATTTCTCCCAGGGGTTTATGAGTTGGTGACTTATCAGCTGAAACCAGGTGGACCAGCTTTATGGGGAAATTCATTCAAAGCAGCTATTGATGCACATGTTAGTAAAGGCTATGCAAAACTGATTGGCTTTTTCCACACAGAATATGGATTTCTTAATACAGGTACAGGTTCATATTTTTCATATTTCCAATACAAAATCATGCCCTAATATATATATTTAATATTCCTATGATCCATAACTTCACATGTACTCAGTTAATATCTGTTATTATAGGACAGGGGAAAGGGGTCAGGTGGCTCCAGATTTAGTCATACTTAACTCATGAGACTCCTTTCTAGGATCGGAGCCTGGACGAGGCGAAGGGGCTTGTGTGGGTAAATGAAATTGTGGGCTATGTCGTCAGACATGTATATGTCCAAAAGGGTCTCCCAAGGCGAATAGGCTATGATGGATACCCCAGACTAACACCAGTCACATCTGCTAACCTGCACTGAACCAGCGTGGCAGATTATGGTCTATTTCTTGCACATGCTAAATCACTCGTATTGGTTGGAAACATAAGGAAGAGGCCTTCATCCTGCAGTGGATAGATAATGGCTAAAATGATGAAAAGATAAGACCTTTTGAAAGTTATTTTTGTTTTGCCCTTCAAACAAGTTCTGTTCATAGCAAATGGCTATGCATCAGTTATATCACTGTACTGTTGAAAGCAGGATCCACACTTCTAGCATCTTAAGAATATTATCTAAATATTTGGAGAAAAATCTTTAGGACAGTTGCCTTACAATGAGCCAGACTGTTGCTTCATCTATTTAATATCTATGCTATGGCAATGGCTTTCTGAAGTTTTAGAAAAAATTTATCCACTTTTTTGGGGGGCAGGGGAATGCCAGGACTATACCTGAAATTTTACAACGCAGAACATGGAATACAGTTATTTAACTTTAGAGCAGGGGTGTCCATCTTTGCAACTTTACGACCTGTGAACTTCAGCTCCCAGAATTCTCCAGTCAGCCATGCTGACAGGGGAATTCTGGGAGTTAAAGTCCTCAAGTCTTAAAAGTTGCCAAGGTTGGACATTCCTGCTCTAGAGCAATACCGTGCCTCTGTATCATATCTGATATACTTAATTTTCCTTACTCACCTCTATGACTAGCTGGGTCTTTTATAGAATTGTATAGAGAAGGTCTTAGAGGCAGAAAATTGTTTGTAGACATTGGGATTTGAATGTCATAATTTGTCCTATAGATTTGTATGTACACCCTATGCTAGTACTGTGTTCTTGCTTTACTTTCACAGTTCATATACTTTGGTGGTTTGAGAATCCAGATATCCGGGCAACTGGAAGGCATATGGCCCATGAAGATGCCAGAGTGGTAGCAGCTGGTAAGATAATTACTGTGTATCTTGGAATGTCTATCACTGTTTTTTTATAAGTTTGAGAGAGTGTATTTTAATTCTTATTTTCAGTTCGGGAGAATGTTCAGTTCTTGGAAACCCAGCAAAACATGCTCCTGATTCCTGCATCATTTTCACCTCTGAAGTAGCTTTATTGCAGTTGAATGACAGCACATAAAAATTATTTTCTGCAACCCTCATCTGGCATTTTTATCTATAAAGGCAGATTGAAGGTAGTTTTGAATAACAGTCATTATTTGTGGAAACTCATGTTATCCGTCTCAAATAGATACTTTTCTAATCATCTGCATAAAAATATATTCAAATCATATGGGTAAATAATGACTTAGTACAGAATATCAGCACTTAAATATTTAAAGCTCAGAATAAAAAATATTTTCCTTCTGGTATTACACTTATATTTAAATATCTTAACTTACAAATAAAACTAAAAACAAACTAATTATAAAATATAATATCCTAAAACTGCTCAGACTTATGAGTAATAAAAAGTTGATGTCACAATGTTATTTAATCAGGAAATTCTCATGATTAATGTATAGATTGCAGTGAGATCAAGAGAAGGAAGTTTCACTTATTACAGCTGAAATGTATTTATTTTTGTATATTTGATGATGGATCTGAACTTTTTATGGTATTTATTATTGCACTGTGATTGAGATTGTTAAATGCAAAATTAAATAGATTTTCTGGATTGTGTGTATGCTATTCTGTCATTTCCTATCCTGCCCCTTAGCAGTTCCACTCATTCTGCCTATGTTACATATCTCTGCAGGCATCTTAAGTGACAGATAGTAGATTCTATATGCCATCTTTACAATCTAAAGGATATAATGTTCTTCAGTCTAAAAAAAAATCATGAACACATTGCAGAATTTTGAAATGTTGTATATTTTCACTGATTACATAAAATATTTTACATTCGTTTTTTTAAAAGTTTCATACATCCCAGAACTAATTCTAATTCTTATCTGTTTGGTTGAAAATTGAACTTGAGTTGATTCTTCCAGTCATCTTTACTATTATGTGTACTTTTGTGAAAATAAACATGCATGGCACTTTTATCTAAATTGATATGTCAGCCTAGACTATACACCTGCTTTACATATTAGAAATAACACTCTGTAAACTTGAGAAAGGGCTACAATTGAAGCCACTTCGTTTTCATTCACCTTCCTCTTAATGTTTTAATTCAATCAGTCTTTGATTCTGCAGTTCCAGAAGTTTGAAAACATAAAGCTAAGGCATGGAAAAATTGTGACTTTTAATTCTGCATCTGATGTGCTCCTGGTTCTGTTCAGATAAGTTGGACAATTCCAATTCTTCCAAATTTGAAGTCCACCACATCTGAAGGACATCCAGTATGAAAAGGCTGCCAGAAGGACCAAAACAAAGCATGTCACCCTTTGAAGCCATTTGTTTCATTTTGCCTTAGTCTGAATGTGTAAACACAGGTCGATTTGCTATGTGCTGCTGTATAGGTAACAGCAGGCAGTGGAACCTGCTGGCACTGGAAATGTGGATTCACCTTTTCACGATTTGATCTTTATACTGTAACGTCTCGGCCATACAGTGTTTAGCTTAACCCCCTCCTCGCAATAGTAAAATTCCAGTTTTCAGTTCATTAATAGAGAGCAGGCAATACAGTACGGTATTCACAAAATTGGCATTTCTACCACTCTTTGTGATAGTCCTACCGGAAGCTCCAGGGAAACGTTTTAGTTGAGGATTTATACGGTATAATAAATAATGCTGGAACTAATAATTCTGGAACTGAGAAACGAGAAATCCCATTAAAAACGCCCCCTCCCCCTTGCGTAATATTTGATTCCTTTTGCAAAACAACCCTTCACATACACTCAAGCACGTCCCCTGGAGTTTCGCGGGGAAAACGTTTGAACTAAGTCCAAGAAACCCCAAGAGAGTGGCTGGATTACCACCTATCGGCTCCAGCAATCCTGGCCAAGGATCAAGGATGCCGAGAGTTGCAATTTAACGATGTCTTCTACAGTGTTTCTCAACCTTGGCAACTTTACGATGTGTGGACTTCAACTCCCAGAATTCTCCAGCTAGCGTTGCTAGCTGGAGAATTTTGGGAGTTGAAGTCCACGCATCGTAAAGTTGCCGAGGTTGAGAAACACTGAGCTAAGAAGTAGGACTTCCGCGTCCCGGGGAGCTTTTTATCTTCCGCATTCCCCTCCCCCACACACACACATACACATACACGTCGTGGTGGAAAGGGGATGGGAAGAGGCGGCGCGGCCCTTCCGCGCTTGGTGAGGAGGCGGCCACGAGGTTCTCGTCGGCCAATGCTTTGCCTCGATGCGGCTGCGGCGGGCGGGTCAGATGGCAGTAGGAAGTGCAGTTTGCCGCCCTTAAGCTGGGCTACGTGCTTTGGCTGTGGCTGTTGCAGCGCTGCTGCCTTTGCGGCGCCCGGGCGATTATTAGACCATGCGGGGCCCCCGGGCCGTGCTCAGAGGAGTCGGGGCAGCGGCGCGAGCGGTCAGTGCCCAGGTAAAAGGAGGGGACGAAGGAAGGCGCTGGGGTGGAGGAGGACAGAAGCAGGGGACGAGCGCCGTCGCCTTCGTAGTTCCTGTGTGTGCAGCGCAGAACTCGTGGGCAGGCAGACGTCCAACAGGTGGGGCCGTCCCTGCAAGAGATGCTCAACATGGCGGCGGCGGCGCCTTCCGTTTAATCTTTGCCACTTGCTGTTGACGACGGAGAAAAGGAGCGGTGAGAAGACGACCAAGAGCCTTGGGAGCTAGGAGAAAAAAGTCGGCTGGCAGGAAATTTCTTATTGGATGCAAAAGGACTTGAAAACCCCTAAGCAGATCTGGATTTGAGTTTGGGTTGGAAAAAAGTCTTTGGAGCGGATCAAGCCTTCTCTGGCTCGCCTTGCCTTTTCTAGCCTTTGAACAAAGTGTTGGCAGTTAAGGAAACAAAACGCCACAGGATAAGGAGTACTTTCCCACAAACTCTAAAATTAGAAGCAGGACACACATCCCCTTCCTATTCTCCTTTGTTGCCTGTCCATGGATATTGTCATCTATTCTACCATCTTCCTCTTGATTCATTCTAAGCCACCATCTCCCATGTACTCCTACAGGTTTGGGCTGATGGTTAGAAAACCAATGTTTAAATGAACAAAGTGATGGGACAACTATAGAGACTCCTTCCATGTGTTTAGAGTAGGCAGATGCTGATCAGAGGATGGGAATCCTCTCCCTGTGCAAGACAGCTACCCTTGCTAAATCCACTTTCTCTGTAAAACTATTAAGTATGGAGCCTTAAATGTTATTTAACATTTGCTGTGTTGGTATCAAAAGAATCCTTATTTGTGAAGGAATGAGTACTAATGCACACTAGATGACATTTGATTTTTTTTTTATCTGCCTATTGCTTTATAAGTAATTCAAGGCAGCAAACATACATCATACTCCTTCCTTCTCTTATTTTTACTACAACAATAACCTTGTGAGGTACGTTGGAGAGAAAGAGAATTAGCCAGCTGGCTTTCATGCCTAAAGCAGAACTAGTGCTCATAATCTGGTTTCTAGGCCAGCACGTTAACTACTACACTAAACAGACATTTCTGTTGTAGAACCAATGTAGGGCTGATCTAGCTGTAAATGTATGCATTCAAACTCCCACACTGATTTGTTTTTATGTCTTAAAAAATAAAATGTTCCACATGCATTTTCCCCTCCTGCGTCTGCAGCTTGTATTCTAGTATTTTGTTCTGTTCCTCATTTGTGGATGTATCATTAATTACATTATAACTGCCTTTTGTACTTTTATCATCAAATAATCTGTTAACTAACAAAAAAGCCAAAGGCCATCCAGTAATTTTTGAAGATGTATGCAGATTTAAACTGATTTTTAAGCTCTCTGTATTCTAACCAGTTCAGCTCCGTAATCTTTATTAAATTTCCCTGGTTTTTCTGAGCTTGGTTGAATAAAAATATATGCCTGCTTTTTTTATATAACTGGGGCATTTGACTGGCTTGACACAAAACATCTTTTTTCCAGAAGCGCTACATTTGATATGTAAAGTGAAATCTTGAATATTGACATTGTGGCTGTGATGAAACTACTGGATGAATAATTCATCATAGTTGAAAGCATGTTCTAATAGGAGGGCTACTCAATTTGTGCTGCAAAATCAAGATGACCACCAGATGGCAGCATACAAGATACACATTTATCTCTTTTCTGCCATCTAGTGATCATTTCAAACGTTGCAGTCCAAATTCATTATCTCTTATTTTGCTCCAAAGGCCCTATATCTCTCCTGTAATATTCAGTTGCCAGCAACTTTTGAGAAGGCAAAATACAGCAATGAAGCTAATGTGATGTGATTAAAATGTTTTCAATTGTTAAAGAGCACTGATTACATACTTGAGGCTCAAAAGGAATTAGTGAATAATCTAGCTCCCACTTTTGTAGTGTTATCTAGACACTGAAATTAATACCATATCACTCTCATTGTTTGCTTTTTCTATCTTTCGTTGGATCAGGTGGAGTAATCAGTGCTTTGCATTGAGTAATTCCTAGTGCAATACTACCAGTTTGAACAAAGACAAGAGGAATGTTTATTGCTCTGTACATTATATTTAATTGCAAAATAAATCAAGTTTAGTGACACCAGTGCCATGGCCTCTGGTGTTTGTATAGCAACAATGACTAAGATTAAAAAAGGTCAAAGTACAGTTCTAAAATTCCAGGCTTGTACAAAGTCCTATAAAACCATGGCTTGCTGAAATTATTGGCAGGGTTTGTAATTGTGCAAGGCTAAGGTGGATCAACTACTGTGGCTATTTTTTTGCACATTGTAGTAACAAAAATGAAACAGATTGCATTTTGGCCTGGTGCAGTGTTTGAATCCAGGGCACATTTGTACAAAAACTGAATTTAGCAGTTTTATAGAGGGGTCAAAAATCAAAGCTGTCATTGGTAGCTAGAGAATAAGATGTTCTAAGAACATAATAATAAAAAAACACCATAGACTCATCTAATCCAGCAATTTGTGCTACCCAATAGCCATTCAGATTCAGATAGCCAAGAATGTATAGTAGCACAAGAGTCTCTTCTCAGCTTCTGTTACTCAGTATCCTACTTGTATTCAGCATGTAACCATTAACACTACTCTACATTGATGATACTAAACCCTGTGAATGTTTGTTTCCTTTTAAACCATTTTGAGCCATTCATTGGTGACCATTGCCACATCTGATGACTGATTTTCATAGTTTAGCTCAGGGGTAGTCAACCTTGGCTCTTTTATGACTCGTGGACTTCAACTCCCAGAATTCCTGAGCCAGCTGTGCTGGCTCAGGAATTCTGGGAGTTGAAGTCCACGAGTCATAAAAGAGCCAAGGTTGACTACCCCTGGTTTAGCTGATTCTTTTATATTAAAAAATTGAATGTGCCTCGAGTTGGGAATTCTGGCCACTATTGTTAGCATAATAATCCAGCTTTCCCTAGTCTTTCACCTCAAAATGGGTTTAATTTTAGATTCTCTATTTTGTGGCACCAAATTGCGGTAGTCTTTCTCTTACTTTTTCACATCAGATTGCAAATGTGAAAGAAAAAGATAATTGCAAGTTATTTGCGTTCATTCATATTTATTTGAATAAATAAGTAATTCATTATTCTTATCAACACTTATTTATGTTTCTTTTATTTATTTTCAGGCCTCATCTTTTGCCACAGGGCCACGACAGAGCGATGGCACATTCTATGAGTTTCGTACTTACACAGTTAAGCCAAACAAGATGAAAGATTTTCTGGACCTCACCAGTAAAAACATTCACCTTCGCACAGTTCATTCCCCAATGATTGGATACTGGACTCTAGAATTTGGGGGACTGAATAAAGTTTTCCACATTTGGAAATACGGTACTGCATGCATAGTTTTACATTATTTATCAAATTTCTGTACTGCTCGTCACATTCCTGTGCCTCTGGGTGGTTTATAAATAAAATGCTAAAAACATATTAAAAGTCATGGTTAATGCAAAGTTAGAAAGCAGAATTACAGAGTTAAAAAGAAAAATTGCAAAGTTAAAAGGCAGAGGGACCGTCTTCAAGCCACCAACCACCCCCAGGGTTGCATGACATCTTAGACTCCCATGTCCAGTGGTGGGATTCAGCCAGTTCGCACCACTTTGGCAGAACCGGTAGCTAATTTTTTGTTGCCCAGTCCCAGAATGGACTTCCGGAAGTGGCATCCGCACAGAGAACCGGTTGTTCACATATTTGAATCCCACCACTGCCCATGTCAGTGGGCAGAGCCAGGTGAGGGTGCTTTTTTGAAAGGCTAAGAGAGTGACTTGCCTTGCCCTGGGAGGGAGGGAGGAGAAAGATGTTTCCATAGATGTATTATAGTACTTATTGTGTAATGGATTAAATAATAAGATCGGTATTCTGGCTTCCCATGGGATATGGGATGTCTTCAGATTACTCAACCAGTATGAAAAGATTCACTGCAGAAACTCCTGTACCGCCAGTGCCGTTTAAATAAGAAATCTTAGAAACTGTTAAGAAACCAAACAGCATCTCTCAAGAGTTAAAATTTCATTTAACAACTACCAGTTCCTGACTAGTTTTATTGCAGTCCAATAAAAAGCTGTTACTTCACAATTTAGTTGATTTAAAGTTGACAAAATACTTTTCTGTCAGAACGTGCATATACATTTGGAATTGTATGGCTTCAAAATTATGGGGAATGCTATAAGGCTCATTCAATTTTATAAATAGCCTTCAAGCCCCATCAGCCCCTTCCTTGTTGCAACTTTTGTATTCTCTGATTCTTTGGGCAGCACAGACTGCTCTCTCACAAACCAGAATAGTAAACTCCCAACCAAAGAACATGTCTCCTGTATTCTATTTTTAGTCTAAGAAATGGTATTGTTTGTGGTCTGAAAATAGAGTGGAAGATTATGCATTCATTAAAATTGTAAATCTAATTAACTAAGGAGTTACATTTTGATTAAGGGTGAGGAATTCATGGGTACACTGAATTTTAAAAAGGGAAAATAATCTAGATGCTCAGATTAATGTCAGGTACTTGAATGTTCCATTTCTGCAGAAACCAGATTTCTTCCATATTTTCTATGGCAACATTTATTGAAATATATCTGGGACAGTGTTTCTCAACCTTGGAAAGTTTAAGCTGTGTGGACTTCAACTCCCAGAATTCCCCAGCCAGCCAGCTGACTGGGAAACTTTGGGAGTTGAAGTCCACACAGTTCCAACTTGCCAAGATTGAGAAAGACTGGTCTAGGATAAGGTTACAGAGATTTCCGCAACTGGACTGAATTAAATATTTTTCTCAGATTTTAAGACGAAGACTTTTTCCATCTCTTATTCATGGTTCCCAGGTGAATTGGTGGAGGAGCTGTTCTCTTAAATGATAAGGTAGGAATATCCAGCTGGTTAGAATGTGAATGGCTCCCTGGTTGTAAACATGGTGTTACAGTACTCTGCCTATAATATTCTAATTAGAATTTGAAATTAAAACTCGGGATCTTAAGTCCTTTATTAACTACTCTTTTGTTCAGTTCTTAGTGTGCTTGCTTGGCTCAGCAGGTCACAATGCCCATCTTGGCCTTGCCTAGTCTGAGAAGCTAAGCAAGGGAGATCACTAGAGCAGGGCTTTTCAACCTTTTCACCCATTGTACCACTTTTAGGATATAGCAACATCCGAGGACCACCCGTCGCCTAGCAAGGTGTCAAAAACGTGATGATCAAACAAAAAAAAAGGAAAAAAAGTGATAAAGTACAGGTAGTCCTTGACTTACAGCAGTTCGCTTAGTGACTGTTCGAAGTTACAATGGCACTGAAAAAAGTGCCCCCCAAGCCACAGCCGAGCAAGACGCCTGCCTGCCCGTCCGGCGGCGCTCTTCCTCCTATCCAAAATTTTCATTGTTGTGAGCATTTCAGTTGAGGATTGGCAGCGGGGGTGGGGTGGGGGGGTGGGTGTTTGGTTTTTATTCCCCCCCCCTGTCTGCTGGGTAGTTGCAGCAGTTTTGGGTCACTTCACATGACCCTGGGACACTGTGACCGTCATAAATATGAATCAGTGGCCAAGCATCTGAATGTAAATCACAAGACCCTGGAGATGCTGCAACATTCCAGCTGATCGGCGCTTCTTCTGGGCTCAGCAGAAGCACCAGGATCAGCGCCGAGCTCCAGCTGGAGCCTGGCGTTGATCCTGGCGCTTCTGCTGAGCCCTGACAGCCCTGCAGCTCCAGCCGTCTCTCGCTCAGGCTTGTGCGGTGCTGCCACCGGTTCAGCTCATTCCCCTCCCCCGCTACCACTTTTCTAGGATGGTCGCGTACCACCTGCCGGGTGCCAATGTACCACAGGTGGTACCCGTACCACTGGTTGAAAAGCCCTGCACTAGAGAATGCCAGGGTAGTGGTAAGCTACACTGGGAAGTTAAAAAAAAATACACAGAAGAAGCCAATGGCCAATATTCTGTTTCTGCTGCAAAGCAGCAACAGCAGAGTCAACCTTGCCTGAAAGAAGATGCATATTCATGGTCGATCTCACAAGGTCAAATACCCCAGCATTTTAATAGCCACAGTCAAGCTGGTGAGATTGATTCAGAATATTTTTTTTTTATAATTCGATCAGAAGCACAAGAATTTATCATAGGTACATTTTGCTTTCTTGTTTGGCATGTTTTTATTAGATGTTAAGGAAAATATATAGACAATCACAAAAGAGAGGCAAGAAGAACAGGTAAAAAAATTAAAATACATATGACTAAACTAAGGTTGTTAACAGGCCAAGGACATTATATGCTAATGTATCATTAGTTAGTTGTAAATAACTGAATATATTATGTTCCTTTAAAAAAAAAAAAAAAAAAAAACAATGTTAGGCTCCAAGCAAGAATGAATGTAAAAAAAAAAAAACCCAGGATAAATCTGTCATGGGAACATAGCAAATAATGGCTTTTATTCAATCTGAAAACTAAAAAAAAAAATTGGCTGATTTTAGGTGAACAAGAAGTAATGACTATGAAAGAGCAATACATTCTGAAAAACGTAAATGACAAACAAGATGGCTAAATGCGGATGTCTAACTTTACTATATCTTTCCTTGTTTGTAGAGAGTTTTGCACAAAGGGCTGCTGTCCGTACGGCATTAACCAAAGATCAGGAGTGGCAGGAAAAATACATCTCTTACATGCTGCCCTTGTTGGACAAACAAGAGAATGAGATTACTTACCTGGTCCCTTGGTGTGAACTTGGCAGCTCTGAAAAAGATGGTACACTGAACATTTACTTAATTGAGACACTGGGTATTTTGGCATTTTTAAATGTGTAGTCTGGCTGGTTTTTCTCGAGTGCAGTTCTGTCATGCAATGGGTGAACTTTGTGCTTAAAGTCAATCACCCAGTGGCTGTTTAATTATAGTAATTGTTGGTGGTTCCTTTTGAAAATCTAAACCTTTACAAGCCCGGCTACGGAAGGTGTGTGCTTAGTACTGTCACTGTTAATTATTGTGCAGCTTAAAATATCATTTCAGTTCATGAAAGAAAAATATGCATTTGCGCCTCTGGCAAGTACAATGTATACACATAAGCACACGTTAGAGTGCATTTTAAATCTCAGCAACTTTAATCTGTGTGTGGAATTCTGGGGATTGAAGTCTACGCAGCTTGAAATTGTGGAGCAATCTGTAGAGGTTCTCTGATGTTAGAATTCCTAAGTGGACACATGGGAAGTTGAACTCGAAAACTACCGTTTCAATTGAGAGATAGTAATAGCACTTAAGATTTCCTTGCATTTCTGCCAACAATATTAGTTTCTTGTTTAAATACATTTGATGTTTTCATAATTTTTCAATTGCCCCATTATAGCAAGGAATAGAAATTCAAAAGTGAAAACTTCAAATATTCTCAGCACCGAATTACATTCTTGTACAAAATCTGTATTCATTTCCAAAATGTGTACATAATATATATTGAGAAGACATTACACATTCTGAATCTTTTTTTCTTGTGGTGTTGCTGCTCCCCCACCCCCACTTCAGGAGTCTGTGAGTTGGTTACCTTCCAAATGAAACCTGGTGGACCAGCAGTGTGGGGACAGTCCTTTAAAGCTGCAATTAAAGCCCACATAAACAGTGGATACACTAAGCTGATTGGTGTCTTCCATACTGAATATGGACTACTCAACCGAGGTATGATTGCTTATCAGATTTCAGTACGATAATTGGGTTAGGTAAGAAGTAAGGAAACATAGCCTTCAATTCATGGCTGATCTTATCTGGGCTTGAAGCTAAGCAAAATTTAATGTGATTCATACTTGGGATGGGAGACTTGTCAGGGAATCTCAGGGCTAAAGGTTAATGTGGAAAATTGAAGGTTAATTGAAAAATACCTTCAAAGAAGGCATAGTGTTGCCAAAAGATCTGAATGTGTATGTTCAGAAAGCTGCCTGGAATCAAACTTGACTCAGAGGAAAAGATTACTTGTGAGGGAAATAAATTATAGAAAGTCCTTGTTTACTGACCACAATTGGGACTGACAATTCCATTGCTAATCACCATGGTCATTCAACCAAAAATTGTGTGACTGTGCTGGGATCAGGCTAATGTCTTTTACTCTTTTGTAGAAGAATAATCACTTTGCTTCTTAAGAGAAATTCTGTTTTAGTCCATGCTTAGAACTTGAGCACTGAGTGATTAAAGTGGTTAGGAATTCAGACAGAACTTGCAGGTTCTCTTATTTGACAAGAATAATTGGACTCTGTTCATTGATTCGTCACCATAACTAATAATTATGATTTAAACATTTAATTTAATAATTTAATCCATTCCAATTAATGGATTTAATTAATTTAATTTCATTAATAATTTCATTAATTTGGTTCAGTAACTTAATTACTGGGTACATGAGAACCATAATAATTAATGCTGCTGTATATATAATGCTTATAGTCTGTGTGTTTGCCCTGACCTGGTATTCCATGGATGTGTGAATTGAAAGGACTTCTTTGATATGCAATATAAATGACTACTGTCCATAGCAAGGGATAGCTTTCCGAATGAAGATTATTCAGCAAAACTTATTTTAATAAATGCATTGCCTATTTAATTCATATTTTTATTGAGTTGCAGTTTTCTGTCTCTGTAGTTCACGTGCTTTGGTGGAATGAGAGCCCAGATAGTCGGGCAGCTGGAAGACACTATGCCCATGAGGATCCTCGGTTAGTAGCAGCTGGTAAGTGAAAGATTTCTCATCTTTTCCCTTTCCCTTTGGGATTCTTTCTTTGAAAAAAAATTATATACCACTATTAACCTTTTAATTGACTGTGTAATTTACTTTTAGTTCGAGAAAGCGTTCAATTCCTGGAATCACAGCAGAACAATCTCCTGCTTCCTACAGCGTTCTCACCATTAAAATAAATACAATGCATAATGGACAAAGAATATTTTTCATTGCACTGTTAAGGACATCTAAGGGTTTTAATAGTCCAGCTATATTTTCCCCATTTATAAAATGTGATACAAACCTAGTCTCTCTTTCAATTATATACCTATTTCCTTGCTGGAAATGGGAAGCTTAATCTCCCGCCCAGTGAAATGAAAATTCAAGGTTTACTCAATTATGTTATGAAAGGGAACTTCCATAAATTCTTTGTATTAGGCTCCTTCCTTTTATAGTTATAAATCTGTGAAAATGACTCTGCAAAAGATGAAAATAAGAGTCCAGAATATTTAAGAAAAGCATAATTTTTGTTAATTTTTCTGAACTACTGTACACATCATGAATAAGGATCTTTTCTAAATGGCCTTTACTGTCCCAAAGCATTATTGTCAGGTGTTTTTAATACTCATTTTGCTTGTCCTAAACCTAAGTGCTACGTTACTCTGAAGTAACATATATTTGCCTACAATTCTATCGTTGTCTTAAGCATGGAATTTTAACATTTCTGTTTCTCTGCTTATCACTGTGGTAGAACTGGGCCAAAAAAAGGGTTTGCAGTAGAACTTCAGTTGAATGAAAAGTGTTCAGCAAATCATGAACCTGACCTTTCATTTTTAAAAATTATTTTTTGTTATAAATAACATCCAGCTTTTCTTTCCTTTTCAAATTCAAATAAATTTTTCCATGTATTCAGAGCCAGCTCTGGCATGTTCAAATGCAGAAACCGAATAAACTGATTTATTCTGAGAGAGTCACTTGCAGTAGCATATTATGTAGCATACACATTTTTATATTTTTGAACCAGTCGTAAGATTGCAGTTCCTGAAATGTAATTGTTGGAATTGAAACATTAAAATGGTTTTTTGAAATGCATATATTTTGTGTTTCTATTTTAATAATGGCTGTTGCTTTCGATTTTAATCATGACACCCATATTAAAATGTTTTTTAAATGTAAGTCTAGGTCAGTGGTGGCGAACCTATGGCACGGGTGCCAGAGGCGGCACTCAGAGCCCTCTCTGAGGGCACGCGTGCCGTTGCCCCAGCCTTGCCTCCCCCCCGTGACCCCCTCCTCACCAGCAGCCCCCCTGGAGGAGAGTCGCCCCCGAGTGTGGCCCACAACGCAGCCAAGGATATGGCAGCCAGGCAGCGTAGACAAGACTCTGCCCTCACGCCCCATTACGCAGTTGATGCTGTGGGGTGCGGACAGAGGGCATGGTCGCCATGGTGCTGCTGGGTTGCCTGGGCGATCTGCGGCGGGCCCTGGAGGTGGTGAATGGCTCAGCTGGCAGGCGGGATGGGGCGGGGCAGGGATGGAGTGGGGGCGGGGGCAGGTTTTGGGCACTCGGTCTCTAAAAGCTTTGCCATCACTGGTCTAGGTCATTAACTTTTTTCAAGTTAGTTACCGGGGATATCAAATATTTTTGTAGTCGGATTAGAATTCATTCCCTTCTAGCACAGCCCAGAAAACCAGTGTGATGTAGCGTTAAGGTGATGTGCTAGGAAGAAGGAGATCCAGGATCCAATTTTCCCTTGGGGCACAGAAGCCAGCTGGACGGACTTGGCCATCCGTGCTCTTTCATCTCTAATTAGGGACAGGCTCTGTAACAACCCAGCTGGTAAGCAAAGCCCTTGTTGCATCATGCATGATAGCTTTGCCACGAGATCCAGGTATGCACAAGGGAAAACAGGCACATCCTGCAGCCAAGTGTGACAGACATGATGAACAATTCTTTTTTCCAGCACAGCGCATGACACCTAGGATAGCTGTGAAAATCCACTTTTATACTGCACAGAAATCCACTCATTGGGGCTGTGCAAAGCATTCAAAAGAAGTGCTTTGCCTAGCATGGGTAGACAACCTTGGCTCTTTTACGACTCATGGACTTCAACTCCCAGAATTCCTGAGCTAGCATGGCTGGCTCAGGAATTCTGGGAGTTGAAGTCCAAGAGTCGTAAAAGAGCCAAGGTTGCTTACCCCTGGCCTAGCACTTCCGCACTAATGAAGGACTCTGAGTGTATATGTACACAAAATTACTTTGCTTTATTGGCCTGCCTATTTTAACTCAATTCTTTCCCACAGTAAATTAGGCCATCAGAGGGAGAATTTAATGTCCCACTGTCATGGTTTTAGTGCCTGCAGGTATTTTTGAGATGTTAAAAGGATTGAAACAATTTACCATATTTAAAAAAAATACTGCTTATTTAATCTTTCAATATTGAAACTGGAATTCAATATATAGTGCAGCGGCCCCCAACCTTTTGGGTACCAGGGACCAGTTCCGTGGAGAGAGTTTTTTCCCACGGGCCAGAGGAGGCGTGGTTTTGTTGCTGCCTGCATCCTGCGGATAGGGCTTCACTTGTTTGCTTGGCCCGGTTTCTGGCATGCCACGGACCAGAGGTTGTGGTGGTTGCAGGGCCTTCTTTTGTTATGACTACACAAGAGGAAGTCTTCCGTTAGCACAAATGAGGTTTCCTGAAGCGAAAGGGCAAGAATGGTAGAGATATAGTCCAAGAAATTACAGAGAAGAGCAACAAAGATGATTAGGGGACTGGAGGCCAAAACATATAAGAAACGGCTGCTGGAATTGGGTATGTCTAGTTTAATGAAGAGAAGGATGAGGGGGGACGTGATAGCAGTGTTCCAATATCTCAGAGGTTGCCACAAAAGAGAAGGGAGTCAAGCTATTCTCCAAAGCACCTGAGGGCAGGACAAGAAGCAATGGATGGAAACTGATCAAGGAGAGAAGCAACCTAGAACTAAGGAGAAACTTCCTGACAGAACAATTAACCAGTGGAACCACCTGCCTCCAGAAGTGGTGAATGCTCCATCACTGGAAGTTTTTAAGAAGAGACTGGACAGCCATTTGTCTGAAATGGTATAGGGCAGAGGTAGGCAACCTTGGCTCTTTTATGACTTGTGGACTTCAACTCCCAGAATTCCTGAGCCAGCCATGCTGGCTCAGGAATTCTGGGAGTTGAAGTCCACAAGTCATAAAAGAGCCAAGGTTGCCTACCCCTGGTATAGGGTTTCCTGCCTGAGCAGGGGGTTGGACTAGATGACCTCCAAGGTCCCTTCCAACTTTATCATCATTATTATTATTATTACTATTACTTGATGTTATTAAACAAGAAATTGTCTTGCCAAGGGAAAGTGAGGAGACCTCGAAGAAGTTATGAATAAAAAAAATGTGGAAAGGAGAGAAGAGAAAAGCAGCAGAGGCCAAATGAATGAATTAAAGCATCTGGGACTACACAGTGACTACACCAGGAGTAGGCAACCTCTGCTCTTTTATGACTCATGGACTTCAACTCCCAGAATTCCTAGTCAGCACAGAGGTTGCCTACCCCTGGACTACACAATCCCATGGAATTTTTGGACTTTAGCAAAGAGATCAGATGACCAAGTGGCATCAGAGTCAAATTTTTGTGGTCTCCCAAACCCTCTTTGATCACAGCTGTTGAAGAGTATAATAGCACAGTTTCCCACAGTTTTGAGATGGAAAACCTAATCTACGCCGTATAATAAACATGCCACAACCAAACCTCATGGCCACCCCAATTTACAACGGTAATTCTGGGCTCGTAAGTCCAGAACTAGCTGTAAAACCAATAATCTGAACCATACTCGGAAAATTTATCATTTAGTACCTATTATACAGATCCAGGTTACAGGTATAATTGCTTCTTCAATACCTTTGTTTTTAAATTGGAATTCAGTTGATCAATGTAATTCGTTTTTTATTAAAACATATACTGCATTTTCTAATTCTGCAATAGCCAGCTATCCATCTATAATACTTTGAGAGAACCATACCATTTCTTACCAACAATTTTTATATTAACAAGAACCTCACAAACGCTTAATGATTTGTAGACCAGCAACACTTTTATTCTTTACTTGATACAAGGCAATTAACAGATGTCTATTAATATTTCACAAATAGTTATTAGCAATACAAATATATATTTGTTTTTCCATGAAAATGTCCATTGAAAGATTTTTAACTTAAAAGATTGTTTTTGCGTATATGTGAAACTGCTCTACTGTTTTGCAAAGTTTATAAGATAATCCAGTGCAAAAATAGATCCCATTACAGCCAGCATAAAGTGCTTGGAATGAAGGACCAATCATATTAGGGGGAGAGGGGATTGGAACAGAACTGGGAGGAAAAGCACAGGAATAGGGACTTACTATACATATTAACTTCTGTAAGAAATATATTCATATGAAACTATCTTTACAGTATCACAAATACTGCAGAAGGATAACAGCAATTTTAATCACGTAACATGAAGTAAATATTCTTTTTCAGTTCCTTGACCAGTGGTTTTATATCATACGGAGAGCATGAGGAAAATTTTGGCTAACTCATCTGATACAAAGGAAAATTTGTACACAGTGATTTACTAGTATTTTGTGTGGAACAAACCCAGCCTGGATCTCCATTCTTAGCAAGAAGCACTTCTAGAAACCATTATTTCCAATGAAACAGATAAGTAAGGATTTAAATGCTCCCCACTGAAAGCAATGGGAATATAATGCACTTATTCTTTTATTGAAGTCCCATTGTGATCAGTACATCTAATTGTCAGGTCATCATGTATAGGATTTCAGCCTTACATTGCAAATTTACACTGGTCATTTAACTCAATTATTTTGAGTTACTGTTGTATCAAGGGATTGTACAATTAATGTTTACCTCTGTTATAATTGTGTTAAATTTGCAAACGTGTTTTAAAATTATACTAAAATAGAGCATTTATATTTGTAGAAAAAATATCTACGGTACTTAGAGAGAGAGAAACTAAATTGCAGGTCATTGAAAGTTGGGTGCAAAAAAGATTGTGCAGGATTCAGACTGATGTCCTGCTGACTTCAAAACGACTTAGTGCAACTAACCATTTCAGAATTTTACCTGGCTTGGGACATGGCTGTAATATTAGTATATGCCAGCTGTGATGAGCACAAGTATTGGTTTGTTAACCAATACTACAAAAATATAATTTGTAGCCATTTTGTTTCTCCTAGCTTTTTATGTCTGGGCTGAATGAAAAAAGTTCCCATGTAAATTTCCAAATAAACAGTTGCTGAAAAATGGGGCATATTTTTTTTAAGAAAATCTATTTATTAGTTGCTTGTCATCCACATATCCAACTTTTAATGCCTACCTTCGATCCATATCTGGAGTAGGAGATCAGCGTAGGTGCCACATAATAGCCACGAAGTAAGAGAAATGGAAGGACTATGGAAACTCAGGACATTCAAGACTTCAAGACCCCCAGCTGCTTTTTCTGGAGGGCTTTCTCCAACCTCAACCCTGAAACAGCATCTCTGCTATGCAAAGCAGGAGATCACCATTGTATGATTTAAAATTATATGTAAACAGGACAGAGGTGATGGTATAACTGAAGGTTTTCCATATTGATGGAAATAATGCTATATGCATTTAGATAGGCAGGAAAACAAGATACCCTAGTATAGATGATAATAGAGAGTTCTTCAGAGTTTGCTGAGTCTCTCCTACAGATAGTACTTTTGCAAGAAAATAGACATATCAACAATCAAGCTTAAGTAAAGAAACCCAAAAACAGCAACGGTCCCACAACAAAAGCAAAGGGGAAAAATAAGCAATTGGACACCATACTATTAGGACAGAAGTTGTCTCAGATGCTTTGATGGTTAATTGTTGGTTCTCCTACAAGCCATTAAGAAACTGAATTCAAACTAGCCTGTTTTGAGGGTGTGCTTCATGGCCCACTATTAAGACCCCTAATGGTTGTTATACCAGTCCCCTCAAACATGTATGGGTCAACCAGACCAATAGCTAATACTTAAATAAGGACACAATATCACACTGGGTGTGACTGCTGGACACTGGTTCTGTTGATGCATTCATTGCCAGCAATGATGTAGTGCCCAAGCAGTTCCTTTCCCCCCTGGGCAGAGAATCTGTGCCTACCTTAGCATGGTGAATAAATAAATCACTGGCCATAAATCTCTGAATTGTTGTTAACGTAATTTTTAACATAAAACATACTAAGTAGAAACAAGTGGGAGTATGGCAAAAGACAACGTAGCAGCAAGTGGCACCATATTAGAGTTTCACAGAATCATAATGTAAGAATAACTAAATTCAAGTCTTTCACTAGAGAACAGTACAACAAGGCAACATCTCCCAGAGGCGCTGCCTCTGTAATGGAATATTGTTTCGTTTGCATTGAATTGCATTGCATTGAATGATTACCAGTACAATGTCCCATTTAATATTTCCATCTCCACCTCCTCGGTCTCGATCTGTTTCCACTTGGGAAGATCCCATCCATAACACAGAAAGGATGAACATTTCTCCTTCTGCTCAGTGTGACCATTGCATCCTTCTGAGGAAGGTTATTCATACACAGCTTTCCTTCACCTTCTCATCTTGCAAAAAGGAACTCAAAACAGCTACATCTACCACAGTCTGGTTTTTGTGCAACGACAAGTCTTTTGTGTGGTCATCATAAGTTTGGTCCTTGGCGAAGTTTACAAATACCTGAGGGAACAAAGATGTGGGCGTCAATAATGAGATCATCATATGGGAGAGGTCTATTCCTCTTTTTCTCCTATTGTGACCAGAGTGAATATCAATCAACAGAGAAATAACCAAGGTAGTAATTGAAGTATGAAAGTTAATAAGCTATTACAGCTCAGAAGGACGATCAATGAACGTGATCTTATTTTGAGAGACGTTTTTCCCTCCCCCCCCCAAAAATTTCATGCTATCAACTTACTTGGTCAAGTGTGGTCTGGGAAACAGAGTAGTCTTCTATGTGGAGTTTCTTTTTGTTCTGGGAAAGGATGCTAAATATCCTAGCCAGAGAGGATGGAGAGGACGGGAGCTGATATTGCAGCATGTTGCGATGCTTCTCCTTCAGCACGCTTCCTGGAAAAGCAAGCTTGAAGAAGTTCTCAACAGGGGTTAGGTCAGGGGTTCCCCCTGCTATTCGTACAATTATTGTGTAACCTTCTCCAAACCTGAAACATAAGGAAAGCAAAGATACTCAGTATGGTTATCCTAAGTTTAAAAAGGATATCATGGCTGTAAGGTGTTCTGGCTTTCTCACAGGTCATTTATGATCCTGGGAAAAACGTGCCATTGATTTCAAAAGGGCCACATAATCATAGTCCTGGTGGTTAATGAGAAAACCGCAAAATGCTCCTTGATCAATGATAAATTAGGGCAGTGGTGGCGAACCTATGGCACGCATGCCAGAGGTGGCACTCAGAGCCCTCTCTGTGGGCATGCACGCCATGCCCTGGAGATGGCAACTGCCCTTCTTCAACCAGCCGCCTGCTAACTCGCTGAGGTCCCACATGGCCAGATGCATCCCGGCATGGCTGGTTTACCTCCCCCCCATCCCGTCCCTCCTGGCCTCGCATGCTCTCCTTTTCCCGGGCATGACCCAGTGCATCGCCTCCTCAGCTGTCGGCCAGCCATCCAGCTCAGAGGCGGCTTCTCTGAACTGCTGGAAGCGGGCTGTGGAGCCCCAGAGTGCGCTGGTCGAGGGGCTGGCAGGTTGTGGCTGTTGACAGACACTTGTCGGCCCCCATGCGCTTGCTGGCCTCTGTATTTGGGGGCCGATGGTGTCAGGCAGCAGCTGCCCCGGCCCCTGCCTTGCCCCATGGCAATGGCACCCCCGCCCTGCCTCACCTTGCCTTGCCTTGCAGGACGAGCCTCCTGCCTACCACCCCACCTGCCAGAGACCCCCTGGATCTCCCCCAACCCTGCCCACCCCCCACAGGCGTCCCTCCCCATGAGCAACATTGAGGTGACCACGCCCACCTTGGCCACACCCACCCAGTCTGCCATGACCACCACAGCCACACCCACTCAGTGGGCCACACCCACTTGGCACCCGGCGATAAATAAGTGGGTTTTGGGTTGCAGTTTGGGCCCTCGGTCTCGAAAAGATTCGCCACCACTGAATTAGGGCAACCATTTTTCTTTGATGAGGATCCAATATATGATTACAACTTTACATGCTTTCAAATATTAATTAATTATTTTGGGATAAATGCCAAAGAGTCTGAGCAGCTTACAACTAAACATAAAAAGGAAAAGTAACATAAACAACAAGGTCCTGATGTGTCTTTATTTGCCTAAAGACAGGAGGGACCAAGCAATTTTACCTGTTCTTCAAGTGTTGGACACTGCCAAGGCACCTGAACCGCCCATTCACCATGATCGCCATTCGAGTGCAGAGGGCCTCACATTCTTCCATGCTATTTAGGGAAGAAAACCAGATGCATATGAAATATTCAGTGGGTTTTTATTTTTTTTTAAAAAAAGAATGTATTTATTATAACAGAGGAAAAGAATAAATAATTACATAAACGGAAAAAAAGATGCAAAGAGACAAATAAAAATAGTAAATAGTTTACAATTATTAGAATTTAAAATTCATTGTTTCATCCATTCATTAACAGAACTAAGAGATAATGAGAAATGTCTACAAAATTGCCCTTATTTGTCATCGTTCTAAACATAGAAGCTGTAATCATATAAAGGTAAAGAAAAAGGAAAAAGAAACAGCAAAAAAATAATTAAAAAAGAGAAAACCCAGTAAAAACATTATTAAACAACATAGTTGCTTAATACAATTTTCTCCCATTGTACACCACCAATAATTACATCAATCTTTTTATAAACTTTGGAATTACTTATTGTCTGCTTGCTGATTATTTTCCCTTTCACAAACATACACATTTAGTGATTTTTTTGAAAATCACATCTGTTTTAATTCCTCAAGCAAAGGAAGGTCTGGATATGCAGGTTTTGGAATCTTTTTTAAGATATTAAAATGTCTTTCTGTAAGCTAGAGAGGCTTATGCTGCCTTCTGCTGGTTTAAACAAGCCTTGCTAGCTAAAATGAAAACATTTCAGAAAATGCATCTTCTGCTTTATTACCAAGTGGCCATATCTAAAAGAAGACAAGATTATTAGCATATTCTGCTGTGCTTCGTTTTATCTTTACTCGGGTAGATGGATCTCTTGTGCCGTTAAATTTTTGTGCATTTCCCTCCTAGCAAAATTTACCTCAGAAACATTCTGTTATGTTTCTAACATACGTCACAAAGGGAGAGTAAATGGGCCCTAAGCTGAAAAATCATGCAAAACAGTTATTGTATCACCTACCTGTGAGATGTAAGGACCACAGACCTTCCCTCTTTGATGATGCTCAAGGCACAGTTCCAAAGGAAGCGGCGGGATTTGGGATCCATTCCTGTAGTTGGCTCATCCTTCAATTTACACAGAATAAATGCATTGGTTTCACCATTATTGCCATAGTAGAGTGCTTATTGTCATGCAGGCTTAACTACAGAAGACAAGGGCTTAATATTCATTTCCTGAATGAGGTGCTAAATGAAATTAGTGAACGTCTGGACTTTTATTAAATCTTGAGTGCAATTGGCATTTTGGCATTTTTCTCATTTTTTAAAATTGCGTGGTAGGGAGAAAGGATTATAAAAGCTGCCTCCTTCATTTGCCAACCTGCAGCAGGAGATATAATAGTCCATAAAGCACTGCAAAATGACAACTGCCAATAACAACAGACTGCATAACTCATGATGAAGGGACAAGAGTTGTTAACCAACATCTGGAGAGCCAATGATTCTAGAAACAGAATATTAAAAAATTGAAGTTTATCAACTATCTCAAGTGGAATGAGAGATGTCATATTAACCGTAACAAGCTGATTTGAAATATTTTGAAAAGTCCACTAAATTGTTAGTGAATTGTGTTTATTCTTACAGCATGTGTCAAGTGCCAAGATAACACTCTGATCTGTTTTCTATGTAAGAGGCTGGGAGGGCCATTCACACTCTACTTCTGATAGTTTTGGTTGACATAGTTTTGGTTGACACTCTTCATGGTGTCTTCCTAATTTTAATGAGTTATGTGTTACTATTGTGATCATGTCTATACTTACCAGGAAGACCACAGGAGGCCCCCCAATTAGGGCCATTGCAGTAGACAGCTTGCGCTTGTTCCCACCACTATAGGTGCCGGCATATTTTTCAGCATATTTTACAAGGCCTAGTTTACGGACAGCCCACTCACCAACCTGCCAGATGGAAAAGCAACATAAGAATTGAAATACAGTCTCCGCAGTTTAGGACAGAGGATAGTTCAAGTCCTGTTCATTAATCTGGTATCTATTAAGACTGTGCAATATGTCCATTTCAACCAAAATTTTGTTGTGAATATGGAGGTTGCTCACACTGCATCTGCCTGTAACTCTTTAAAGCAGCTGCATCTTCCCCAAATCTCATGGCTGTCCTTTGAAGCTGCTGTGTGATCCTGGGAAAGGGTTGTAGACAATGCAGTGTGCATAGCCCCATGTATTTCAAATCACCTTTTATGTCTTTGAATCTGCATAGGCCTATTATGTATCCCAAGGCATCATAGTATGGTTCATACCCACAAATAGGCAATACTGAAGAACCTTTGGACTTTTTGAGGATTGATGGTGGGTGGTGGATGCATTTAAGAAAGTTAAAAATGATTTCAGCCAATTAGAATAAATTTCCCTTTCTTGAGAATGGAAGATACAAGCAATCAAAGAAAGACCCTTCCTCTCTCCCTCCCTCCCTCCCTCCCCTACCCATCGCAACAAATGACTCTGGGTGACACACATGAAAATAATAAAATAATATGACAACAAAAAACAGGACTGTCGAGCAATCAGAGAAGTTCCCACTACAATCCCTATAGACCAGATTGTAAAATATCCCACATTTAGGAAGGAATTTATCTGACATAGGCTTGAAAATGATGTGGGGTGGGGTACAAATGAATTTGATATAGCCAGGTCTTTATATCTTTTTTTGTTTATTTGTTTTTGCTTGTAACTTTGTATTGTTTTTCTAAGGCACTCTAAGCAAATATGGTGAAACAAAATAAAAGCATGTATGTCATGTCTCTTTTAAGAGACAGGAATAATATGCTTGTTTCTGTACACTCCGTTTAATTACCAGCCATGGAGAATTTGTGGTGGCAATTAAGTTGGGTGGTTCTTCTGCCTGCCTGCATCATTTTACCTTGCAGACTTCTTTTTCAGGAACTCCCCTTAAGAGCGCAAAGAATTCCAGGTGCTCTCGCCCAGTCAGCAACTCCTGAATGGCATCAAACTGAGGACAGTAGCCCATGTTCTGATGGACTTCTTTGATGTTAGACAAAATACTGTGAATAAAAGAGACAGCTTCTGAAAGACTTGCCAGTTTTGCTCCGGCTTGAACATCTAAGGCAGAGGTAGAGCTATTTGCTAAGTAAATTGTGAATGGCTGAATAGATAAAGCCACAGGTAGTCCTCATTTAGTGACCATTAGCAGTGATGGTGATGAAACAGTAATTTTGTCACCAATCCTCACATTTATGACCTTCCTCTATAGCAGGGGTGTCAAACTGCCGGCCCGTGGGCTGGAAGCGTCACGTGGAAGCCGCGCCCACCCCATTGCCGGCAATGGCAAAACCGGCCCGATACATTGCGCGACGTCACGTGATGTCGCAAGTTTGACATGCCTGCTCTATAGCAAAGGAAAGCTGAAATAAGATCATAAATACAGGTAGTCCTCGAGTTACGAATGTAACGGAACCTGTCCTTCTTGCAAAAAAAAAAAAAAAAGATCTCGCAAAGTTGGAAGGTCTGATTGAACTTTATTTTTTTAGTCCCACAAACTTCTTTTGTTACCCTGCACGCCGCGGCGGAGATACATGACGGAGCTGGAAAGCAGGTTTGTTTAGGAGCCCCCACTTGCAATTTAGCGAAGGAATGCTTTGGGGAAGCGAGGGGAGCAGGGTGATGACGCGCCAAGCTCTCCAGCTCCTTGGCAGCGCAATTTGTGAAATCCGAGCGGGCTCGGCACTCCAGCAAATAGTGGAGCAGGGCCGTGCCCGCTTGTGAGAGAGGTTGGGGCTCTCTGGGTGGGGAGAGGTCGACCCAGCACTTCTCTGCCTGGCTGTGCAAGGGCTCTGGCACCCAAGGCTGCGCAGGAGGCGAGCATGGACAGTTCGGGACTCTCAGACATGGTACCAAAGTAGCGTGTGGCAGCGTCTCTGCGGTCATTCCTAAGTGCAAACGACTGCTTTAATGTTGCAACTTGCTACATAACTCTGGGATCCGTTCTTAACTACTTTTTGGCAGGGATGTCATAACTTTGAACATTCGCTAAGCGAGCGTTCGTAACTCGAGGACTACTTGTACAGCTGCAGTCTCAATTAATGACTGCTTCACTTAACAACCAAGTTTCTGTTCCCAATTGTGGTCACTAAATTGTGTAAATTTTCTTCATACCTGTTTCCCTTCAGAAAAGCATCTCCTCCTGTAACATCAGTGTCTCCAGTCAACATCTTGAAAGTGGAAGATTTCCCTGCGCCATTCACGCCCAGGAGACCAAAGCACTGTAACCATTAAGAGTTACAACATCAGCACAATATGTCCCATCTTTCCCTACAGATGTTTTACATAGTTTCTGACATTAATGCTGGGATCTGGGAACCATTTAATTTGTTCCGAAGTTCAGAAAGAATCCAGGCATTGTGAGTGATTTTTATATCTAAATTTCTCGGATAAAATCCACAAATCTATAAGGGGCTCTTAGGCCAGCAGTGCCTATTCTATAAAACATGGGGATAATTTTAAATGCTCTTGCACAGTTCTTATAAGGATTGCAAGAAACTATATACAGAATGCTATGGAAATATTAAAAAAAATATAGCTTTAAAGTTTAGGGAAAACTTGCACCAGTTTATGTGTAGAAAATCAAAGCAAAAAAATATTGTTAAGGAGTCACTCCACATCACTACCATGATGTAGCCATGTACTTAGGCCAGTGATGGCGAACCTTTTAGAGACCGAGTGCCCAAACTGCAACCCAAAACCCACTTATTTATTGCCGGGTGCCAGGTGGGCGTGGCCTACTGGGTGGATGTGGCTGTGGTAGTCATGGCAGATTGGGTGGGTGTGGCCAAGGTGGGTGTGATCACCTCAATGTTGCTCGTGGGGAGGGATGCCTGTGAGGGCTGGGCAGGGTTGGGGGAGATCCAGGGGGTCTCTGGCAAGTGGGGCAGTGAGCAGGAGGCTCGTGCTGCGGGGTGAGGCGAGGCAGGGCAGGGGTGCCATTGTCACAGGGCAAGGTGAGGCAGGGGCCGGGGCGGCTGCTGCCTGACACCATCAGCCCCTGCACACAGAGGCCAGTGAGCACATGGGTACTGGGATACATCTGGGCATGTGGGACCTCGGCAAGTTAGCGGGCAGCTGGTTGAAGAGGGATGGTTGCCATCTCCAGGGCATGGCATGCGTGCCCACAGAGAGGGCTCTGAGTGCCGCCTCTGGCACACATGCCATAGGTTCGCCACCACTGACTTAGGCCTTTCCATTACTAGAGGACTCCATGTAATTTTTTCACTAATTGCTTTGTATCATTAAATCCTTGAGTAATATTACATTAAATTTACAATACTTGAGAGCTTTACCTCTCCAGGAGGGATTCCAACACAGATTCTGTCCACAGCAGGTTTCTGTTTCATTCTGTACATCTGGAAATGGTAACATAAATTGGTTTGCAGATGACAACAAATTCAGCTTTACAAATTGTACCCCTTTACCTAAATTTTCTTTCCAGGCAAAGTTTTCCTGATTGTTATTTTCCTTTCTATTGTTTATTTCCATTTACATCAACTACAAGCCTCTTCAGGAAAACCACACACAAGTTAACAGGTGAGCAACTCTGTTCTGCTTTTTTATATCCAGTGAAACCCTGAAAGGGTAGCATCAATTTGCACATTTAATGACCTATAGTTACTCCCTCATGGGAGAAATTTTCTTCAACAGCAAGATTGGGTGAAAATCAACGGTCAGGGACAGTAGGCTTCAGAATCAAGTCTTTGATAAGTGTTCAAAGAGAAAAATGCCATTTTCTCACACGTACAGCTTAATTTGTTGTTTCTCTCACCTTGGTTAATTCTTTGATTTCTAAGATGTCACTCTGCCCACCACCACCAATGATCCTCTGCCTTTCTCTAACCACATCCTCATCCTCTTCATTTACAGGTGGAAGCTTTGCGCTCATAGGCCTTTGGGAAACAGAGTGAAAAAGGAATATATTACGTTAAAATTTACTTCAGCACTGAAACTTCGAATTGTGCTACTTAACAGATACGCTACCATTAACATATGTGGAACATTTCCAAATTTACAGAAAGTTAAAACTCACATTTAGCTAAAGGCACATCACAGAAATTAACATCCCACCGTAACATTTTAAAATTAACTCCCAAGATGCTTTAAATCAGGGGGCCCCAACCCCCGGGATGTGGACTGGCACCGGGTTGCGGCATGCCAGAAACTGGGATGCACAAAAAAGTGAAGGCCCATCCCTGGGATGCAGGCAGCATGCAAAGCCACGCCCCCTCTGGCCTGCGGAAAAAACTCTCTCCACAGAACCGGTCTCTGATGCCCAAAAGGTTGGGGGACGCTGCTTTAAAGCTAAGGGTGGCAAACATCAGTATCAGAGAAAAACATCTATGGCACACTGTAAAAGCAGAATGCTTCCCAATAGCGGTTTGCTTATTGACAAATGTAAGCTTGCCTCCATGAATTTTATGATTAGGGTGCAAAATTGCATTGGATAATTGAAGTATTTGAAATTGAAAAGTTGGTTTTGGTATGTTACTAGAAGAAGAATAGAGTGAACAGAAAATATGGACAAAACCCCATCCACCTGCAGCCCTCTCCTGCCAGCCTGCTTGCCTGGGAGTCCCACCTCTTCCCATATTGCAGTCACATGAGATCCTCGCTTACAGACTTGGATTACAATGGCATCCAGGGCTGCCCAGGATTGCTGTCCTAAGCAATGCGGTCACATGATGTTGCACTTTACAACCATATTTGCTTAGTGACAAAAAATTCTGGCCTCAATTGTTATCGTAATTGACAACATATGGGGTAGGGGAGAGACCAAACAAAAAGAAGAAGAAATACAAACTTCTAGGAGTATTACTTGAAACCAGATCTATGGTAAATTCTAAAATAAATTTGAGTTATTAGTATAACAAAAATGAAAATAAAATATTTCTGATCTTAACGCTGATCCCCCATTTCTCCTCTTCTGACCCTTTCAGAGGGGACATTTATTTTGTTGTTGTTCTGTAATGTAAACAAGCATTAAGATAGGCCTCAGGTTACGACAACAATTGAGACCAGAATTTCTGTCACTAAGCAACATGGTGGCGAAGTGCAACATCCTGTGACTGCATTGCTTAGTGACAGGAATCCCAGCAGTCCTGGATGCAATTATAATCTAAGGAGCACAGCCGTCTTTAAACGAGGCTCTCATGTGACTGCAGCATGGGAAGAGGTGGGAGTCCCAGGCAAGCAGGCTGGCAGGCAAGGGTTACAGGTAGATGAGCATCGCAGAGCACGGGGTGGGCCAAAAAAAAAAAAAAAAAGCAGCAACCTGTGACTTCCTGCAGGCTTCTCCATTTGACTTGCTTTTGTAGGAAGAAGCCCAGGGCTTTTTTTTTGTCATAGAACACCCAGAACGGAGTTCCGGCACCTTTTTTGGATGGAACCTTGTAGGGTAGGCAAGGCGGGTTGTATGACATGTGTGAGTTCCGGCACCTTTTTTTTTAAATTATTATTACAAAAAAAGCACTAAGGAAGCCAGTAAGAAAGATTGCAAATGGCAATCATGTGACTATGGGATACTGTAATTATTGTAATTATGAGCCAGTTGCAAAGTAAGATGCTTCCCTCTATAGGTTTGCAATTATAATTTTTATAATTCCTTTCATTGGGCTGCATGAGGTGGAAATGAACAAGAGTTGAACCTTCACCCACCCCAAATACCTGGAGGAAGCTAGGTTGTCCATTCTTGATTTAGGTGCTCATGCCTCAGCCTAACCCCTAAAGTATTCCATGCACCCTTTCCTATGCAACGGACTGATTAGCACAGAGGATTTCTTACCTAGACTTGATAAAGAACCTGTACTGGATCAACACCGTGATGAGAAAGAACACGACTCCTTCTATAGCCATGGCAAAAAGGTTCCTCCCAACCAGGTTCCAGGAGAGAGGGGAGACAAAGCGATTCTCACCTATTCAGAGAAAGCAGATGAATTGGTTCAGCCTTCAGAAAGATCCTCAAGAAGCTACTGTTGTCTACCTTTATCTTTACATGGATGTTTAAAATACAGTGCATCAAAAGAAGTAATAATAATAATAATAATAATAATAATAATAATAATAATAATAATAATAATAATAATAATAATAATAATAATAATAATAATAATAAAGTTGGAAGGGACCTTGGAGGTCATCTAGTCCATCCCCCTTGCTCAGGCAGGAAACCCTATACCATCTCGGACAAATGGCTGTCCAGTCTCTTCTTAAAAACCTCCAGTGTTGGAGCATTCACCGCTTCTGGAGGCAGGTTGTTCCACTGGTTAATTGTTCTCACTGTCAGGATGTTTCTCCTTAGTTCTAGGTTGCTTCCCTCTTTGGTTAGTGATAAACTAGTATTGATTGGGATGGAAAAGGAATAATTCTGTTCCTGTTTTCATGGCTAGAAAAAACTAAGATATGCATTACAAAACAGACATTGTAGGGGGAGAAGTCTGTTTGCCTATGGTAGCCAAATATCAGAAAGAGCCCAGCAGCAACTTTTCAGACTAAAAAAAAAAGATTTCAGGCTATTTTGGAATGACTCAACAAATGCAACAGCTTTTTAATATTTTTAAATGGTTAATTGATAAAGGAGTTGTAATCTATTTCACAGGTAACCCATATCTATCTAATCACCCCACCTTATTTTCTCTTTTGTTGTTCCCTTCACCCTAAACCTCATCAGTTTAGCTACTCCAGACTTCTAATGAACTGAGCTATAGTGCACGAAAGTCTCTGACTTTTTCGATATGAGGTCCCAATAGGAAGGGAGAAAACATGCTACTGTAGCCTAAAAGGATACTACCAGATCCTCCCTTTTGTTTGGGGGCTTACAAAAATAGGGAAAACAGAATGTAATACACTCCTGGCCCGGGCTGTGAAATCCTAAACTGTGAACCACATCTTACTTACCAAACCTTTCAAGGGCATCTGCCATTGCTTGGTTTTTCACCATGTCAATTAGGCCACGTCCCAAGCAGAAGTGTGGAAAGATAAGGAACACAGACTTCAGGATGTCATTGATGCTGTTGAATTTCTAAAAGAAGACAGAAGTCAAGACGATCAGCCGCTTGAACGCTGACAAACAGGACAGATATCAGCAGATCTACAACTCAGCAAGCACTGAAAGCATTAAGCATTCGTTGCTTTGATAAGACTTAAATGATTTTAAACCGTGTCCCCTTGGCTTTGGTTTAAAATATAAAATGTTTAGGGCCCAAGGATAAATCTGCACCCTCCTCTGTTTTTTTCTTTTCTAAATCAATCAATCAATCATCTGGATAAAAATGAACAAAGTGGTATTCCTCTTTGCTTTTCAAAATTAAAAAGGATAGTCTGGGCTAGGATTGGCAAATCTAACAACAGAGCTAGGATCCATTTGCTTTGATTTTACTATTTCAGTGGTGAACAAACATAATTCCAGGCTCACAGTTTAAATGTAAGCTCCATTTTAATTTCACAACTTATGCTCACTCACTCAGAATTATAGATTTTAGACAGTGGTCTATAAGATGCTTCTACCAGTAGAGAGGATAATCCAACTCTTCCCTGAAGCTCCCTAAACACTTAAGAATTAAGAATAGCAATAGCAATAGCACTTAGACTTATATAACGCTTTACAGCCCTTTCTGAGCAGTTTTACAGAGTCAGCATATTGCCCCCAATAATCCGGGTCCTCATTTTACCGACCTCGGAAGGATGGAAGATCGAGTCAACCTTGAGCTTGAGCTGGTGAGAATCGAACTGCCAAACTGCAGGCAGCCGGCAGTCAGAAGTAGCCTGCAGTACTGATTCTAACCACTGCGCCACCGTGGCTCATACAATTAGAACAGGGGTAGGCAACCTTGGCTCTTTTATGACTCGTGGACTTCAACTCCCATAATTCCTGAGCCAGCACGAGTCATAAAAGAGCCAAGGTTGCCTACCCCTGAACTAGAAGAACAACTATTGATACCAATTTCTTCCCTCATTTTTCTGTTGGAAAAGACTTCTATTAAAGTCTTCTACTAACTGACTGGCTAGATTTCTCCTGTTTATGAATTAGTAGTATCCAAGCAATGTTTGCATCTTCTAATGTCCATCTACCTTTCTCCAATAGTACAAAGGTGTATACCTCCCATTGCATTCATAAATTCAGTCTTCCCTTTCAATTACACATTTAGAAAATATTGTGCAATTGGAAGAAGTCCTAAATGTGGCAACACAACTATGTCTTGCTTTCCACCTGCATTCGACAACAACTCACTATAGAATCAATTCTGCAGAAAAACCAGTGAGAACTCACACTGCTGGTGAATAGTTCAAGGACAAAAGTGATGACACTCGCATTGATGCCAATGAAGAGGTTTACGCTGGTCAGCACCACGTATGCCGTGCTAGGAATCTTGAATATGAAAGATGCTGGGTACATGAGAGGAGTTATGGACCACCTGGCAAAGAACACAAGACGGGCATTGAGGTCTCTTCATGCGTTATATGAGTGGTTGCCCACACCTGAATCAAAAAGAGCCTTCCTTACCCATAGAGCAAAAGTAGAAGTGCCAACACTGGGAGATTGGTTGAGGATACATAGGATTTCTGCTGGAAGCAGATGAAGATGATAATGACCAAAGTCGCCGGAATAATGTAGTTGCACTGTACGTTTCAAAGAAAAGAGAGGGAAAAAAATCAGAAGAGCTCCAGATTAAAAGCTGCAAACGAATATCACATTTAAGTTACATAGAAGATGGGCATGGCAATCCTTTTAAGCATTGGATCTTCTCAAGCTAACTACAATGAGACAAAAGTGATACAAATTGACCATCGCCTAAAGAGGACTTGATGGAACCACAGAAAAGGAGAAAGGATATCTGATATACTTCATAATATACTTCATCACTCGGAAGTTTTTAAGAAGAGACTGGACAGCCACTTGTCTGAAATGATATAGGGTTTCCTGCCTGAGCAGGGGTTGGACTAGATGACCTCCAAGGTCCCTTCCAGCTCTATTCTGATTCTGATGATCCAAAGTGTTTGGGTTGCACTTTTGCAATTCCTTTTTCTTTTCTTTTGACTGGATCAAACCCCAATCTCCACAAAGTCTTCTTGTTGCTTTTAATGCAGTTTGTGTCAGCTTTCAGATTCAAAGCATTCTAGTTGCTATCTCCACAGCTGTTACATCAATTCTGAACATTATTACACATGCAGGGCTGGGACTTGGCTGAAACTGTAATTAAACTGAAACTCATCAGTGTTACTAAATAATCAGTACGGTGGCACCACTATCTTCTTTATGGTTATTGCAATCTATCCCTGGAAATATAGTGTAGAGACCAGCTTCTAATATTTAAGAGAATGTATATTCCTATACCAACATCTACAATTTCTGCTCAGGTTCTATATTACTCTTTAACAAGCCAGGATATAATACAGGATCAAAGTTCTGCATGGCAACTGCATTGTTTCAGATGGTGATCAAAAGGAACAGAAACTAAAAATGTCAAACAGATGCAGCCTTACCATATCCCATAGAAAATTGGCCGCCCAGTAGATTACTGGTTTCACACCGCATATGAACTGGAGATGCTTGGCTTTACTGACCCGCTCCTGGATTAAGAAAACTACAAAGCTAGCTGGAACGAAGGACATGGCGAAGATGACACAGATGGAGACCAAAACATCCACTGAAGTAGTCATCCTAGTAAAGAGAAAGATGAAAAGGTGACAAATTGATTTTTGACTCTTTCAGCCGCATTCTTAATTAAATATATCTTTAGAAAGAGGACAACTGTAATTGAAATCTTGGTTTGTATTGTTGGAACTACATGAAGAGAGACTTCAGACTTAATGTTCCTTTAACAAGAGATACGTTTCATCTCCCCTCTCTGTTCCTTTCCCTCCCACCCCTCATTCTGTCATTTCAGGACGTACAAGGCAACTTCAGAGAGCTGCTGCTTGGTGAGGTTCAGTGGGTGATTGTAGATCGTAATGCCATAGTTGCTTGGATTCTCTCCATCTTGTAGGTTGGCGCGGAGAATGGCATTGTTGATCACATTGAGAAAAGCACCAATGGCATGCCAGCCTTTGTTGTTAAACCACACCTGAAAAGGAAACAGCTGGTTTTAACTGAGAGAACATTAGATAGGAGATCTCAGATTTGAGGGTCAAATCATAGGATCCCCTTGGCTTTCTTTATGCATTTCAGTGTGACAGTTGTTTGCGTGTAAGAGAGATTGAGATACCTGCAGTTATATGCAGCGGAGAATTAATTTTAATTAGAATTTACAAAATACTCATTATTTTTTTGTCTTGGGCATCCCTTTTCTTGGTTTCTGGTATATAAAGATATCTAAATGTCTATTGATATGAAAAAAAAAATGCCATGCATGGACATTTCCGGCAGGAAATATAATTTTGGGGATTGGTTTCCGATATAGCTTGCAATTCTAGGTTAACAAGGAGGGCAATGCAGTTGACCATGTTTATAATCCATATGTTTTGTATATGTTGTTTCTAAATTTTGGTGGAAGACCTCTCCTCAATTCAGGATTGTCTTAGATATTTATAACCACTTGGACCTGATGAGGCCAGCAGAATTATTTGTGTGTCGTAGAGGGTTGCTCTTTATTAGTATGAATCCCATTTAGTATGAATCCCATTTCTGGCTTGTCTTTTCCCAGTCAATAATCATATCCAGGTCAATCACTCCTGCAGGAACATGTAGTCTTCACTTAACAATACTAACTGGGGACCAGCAACTCTGTTGTTAAGTTACATGATCATAAAGCACAACATCACATGACTACACCGACTTATAATGGCAGTAGCGGTAGTCCCAGTTGTTAGGTAATCGCACACAGTGGCAGTGTCCCTAAGTCACACAATCATCATTTGTGACCTGCTGTTTTCTCCATTGACTTTGTCAGAAGCCAGCAGTGAAGATCATAAATGGTGATCACATCGACATGGAATACTGCAACATGCCAGGAGCCCGAATCGCAGTGCCGTGACCGCAGGGATGCTGCAGTAGCTGCAACCGTGCAACCATGAGGAACAGTTGTAAGTCCACTCAGTCAGTGCTGTTGTAACTTCAAACAGTAGCTGAACAAGTAGTCACTGAATGAGGACTACCTGTAAGTGGCTTTTTGGAAATAAAATCTTACATCACAAAAGCAAACCCTGTGGATATCACAGTGGAGTATGCTTTTAACTTTAATTCCAGAAAAAACGATCTAAATTTGGGGAAACACTACATGGTGGTTCAAGACGTCTAAGCAATAACACTCCTGAGATCAGCCAAGTAGAATTAATACCTTAATATTATCATTTGTGTCCAGGCCTTTCATGAAGTTCCGGAAGCTGTTTAGAAACCGTTCAGCAGCACCCCCCTAAAAATAAAAATGAAATTTTAAAAAATCCAATTAAAAAAGTAAATTCCACTGACCTCCAGGTAATGTACTTCTTTGTAATCATATCAGGGAAAATGCTTGTCTATGTGCTTATATTCTACTGTATCCCCAAAAGTATGCTGCATATGTGAATTCGAAAAGGAGCTGAAATTCCTGGAGGAACCTTTTACTCTAACAGCGAAATTTCTTTGCTATTTACCTTGGTAATTTCCAAGATTTTCTTCATTTGATTGATGGCATCATTGACCTCTTCATTTCGAGGAAGCACAATAGACCCACTAGCTCCCAATGAAAAGCCACCATATCTATGAACAGATGAAAGAAGCTGTCACAGAAGTCTACTTTTGTAAATGTTTCCTACACAATGACTTTGTATTTTTGTCAAGATGTATAGCTTTCTAAAGCCTTGTATTGAGCAAAACAATAAAACAAAATATGCTGAAACCTTCAGCAAAGGTACATGTGCTTCTTTAAATGTAACACAGAATGGAAACCCGGGTTATAGATAAATCAGGAGATAGATCTACATCACACGTGAACAAAAAGAAGAGCAGCCACATAGATATTTTTCACAGGTACCACACTCTTCTCCTTCATTAAAGTGAGATCCATATAGAACAAATGGTGAGCTATGAAATTACATTTGGGTATTATTCAATTATTAGGCTCGCTCTCTCCAATTTGGAATGTCCAATCGAGCAAATTACAGAATAGCTGGATATAGTATTATATTTATAGATTGTAAACAGTTTTTTTAACTAATTCACACTTTTTTTCAATTTCTACTCTCAACTTTGCCTTCTACTCTCAACTTTCAACAATGTCTCTTACCCATCTATATATAAAACCAATGGCTTTTATAGAAACAGAAAATAAACTAAATGATAATGCAACAGGTTTGGGCTTAGCACATTGTATGAACCCAGCCATTCTTGCTTGTAAACCATGGTTTATGGCTCAGAGTTACATATGAGCCTGGACATTACAGCTCATTCAGTCAGTTGTGGATAAAATAAAGCATATATAATTGCAGTGTGTGAACACTCATTTCATGCATTCTAGTGTATCACTATCATCTCTTGAAGTGTAGCTACATCACATTATTCGTTGAGTAAATGAATAAGGAATGGCCTAAAAATAAAGCCAAACTGGAAAAATCCATAAAAAGTAATTGCAGATATGAGTAAAGTTCTTAAGATCAGATAACACTCACAAAAGGAGAAATATATATATATATATTTACCTGAACTCATTGACCCAATGCTTACTCTTCAAACTGTGGGTATAAAAAGCAAAGAAAATCTCGTTATATTAGATCTAAGTCAACCAGTTCCAACAATCAGAACGAAGGGAGAAACACATTTGATTAAAAAGCCTTTTCAATAGAAAGGGGACTGGTGAGCCAGTCCTTGCACATAGGTGCAGGGTAACATATAATAAATCCTTTAATTGTTATTCCCTCTTACAGGGAATAGTGAGACTTGTTGCTTGAAAGTTCAGGCAGAAAAAGAGTATGTGAATTTTCAGCATATTTAGCATTATAGCCATAGTGTTTTTGAGATGCAAGGATTGTTATGCTGGCCTTCGTTATATAAACAGTCTCTCATCCATAGCACCCTGGGCTACATGAGAAGGTCCGTTCAACTGAGTTCTGATCGGTGTCACTTTCTGAAATCCACTTCAGCAAAAGCGCATCAACCGATACCGTAAAACGGGTTTTGAAAAGTACCAAGATGGCTTTGAAAGAATCTAAAGGGAGGGCGGAAAATATACCCAAAAGGAAAATTTTGTGAAATCACTTCATCAGATTTTTAGAAGAGAAAAGGCCAACATAGAAAGAAGTTGATCTGAGGAAACATGCTGTGTGACATATTCCCTGTGTTAGTCTTCATTGCAGGAAAAGGGAGTCATATCATAGCTCCTCCTTCACTACGAAGGGCTGAGGCAATTGTTAGAATAAATATTGATATTTGTTTTTTAAAAAAAGAACATATGAATTGATCCCAACATCTTAAAGCCATAGGGGGTCAACCTGCAAGCCACATATGGCCTCACCCCCAGCTGGGCTGCCTGCCATAACTGCTGCCTCTCCCCGTTGCTTGGCAGCCCAATAAGCATCAAACTAACAAGATGTCATCACATTCTTAGTGTTTCTTTTCTTGATAGTAAAAGGGATACTCTGCATACAACCTATCAATCAAGCTGGTTGCTTGAATACAGGAAGCCTGCACTACTGCACTTGGGAATGAAGCTGGGCCACATGAAAGTGGAGAAATGGTTTATTAGATATTTAAGTATGCACGTGTCTGGCCACTTGGCAGCCACTGCGGCCATTGAGATCAAAGTGCATTAATTCTACCCTTCTGCATAACTGCCAGGCTCCAAACTAAACCAAAGTTTACTTAAAAATCAATCAAAAGCACTTTGGCAAGACATCAGTTTGGCTATGTTCCTCAGAATGGGATCACCGTGCAAGCATCAGCTTGATAATCATTGTAAAAATTGCTATAAAGTCAGAAGAGTAGCAACAATAAGCAAGATGAAGCACCTTTTTCCAATGATCTGTGCATAAGTCTTCACCAAATAATCAGAAATGTTGCGCCCCGTCAGATTCTGCAGAATATCGGTGGTCTTCTGGGTTCTCTGTAGACCGGGCAGGAGGAGAAAAAATAGAACGCTGAAGAAGCCAAGATTATGATTGGTCCTGAACTACCACTATGGTCATTTACTATAGAAATCAGTAATCTGAGCCCCCTATGAGTATTCCCATCCACACCAGAGGCCATGAAACCTCTGCAATATATTAAAGGTTACTGTAGCTATTAAAGGTTTCAGACTTTCTCTTTTTCCTCTCCTAATATGTTATACTCTAATGATACAAAAGTAGCAGACCAGGTAGTTATGGATGCACCTCATTTTGCCCAAGTGACATTTCTACTAGATAAAAGTTGACTGTATCTCTAATGCCCTTCGTGGCTGGAGGCCCGAATATTTATGAGGCCTCCTTTCTCCAATTGTCCATTTGGTAAGATTTGGCATAATTGGCTGCCTTCGGGCCTTGTTGCTTTTTTAGTAGTAATTTTATTTTAAAAAATACAGTTGCAACAATAGAAATGAATGCAAACTAAAAAAAAGAAAAGGAAAGGAAAAAATTTAATGTGCGGGGGGGGGGGAAATTAGAAAAGAAAATGTATACAGAAATATCTTCCCCCTTCATCACAACAAGTGCAAATTTAGTAATTTATCATATCATATAAAGTACAACAAATGTTTGCTTGTTTCCATAACTCATCTCTTATTCATAAACAAAGTCTTAAAGCCTCAGCATTCTGTCCCGATAAGATAACAACATGTCTATTTTAAAATAACATGTCTATTTTAAACTTGACCAAATAAGCCAACTTTACATCCCTTCCCTTTATTTTTAACACTCTTTATCTTTATCTCTTCAAACAATGTCCCAAAACTTGATTTCTTTTCATTGTTCCTTTTTTTTCCTTTCTCACAAAATTCTCCAAACCTTGAACAGGCCTGTTGTTTGTAACTCCAATAGAGAAAAATTATCCAAGTCACTCTCTTAGTTTGTAATTTGTATATCCCTTTTAATTACTACTTAATTTAATTCTGCTTGTTTCTTTTGTATGTCAAGGGTAGCATCTTTTTCCATAAAATTCTTGTAGCTTGTCACTTTTACATCCACATTCAGATCAGTTCTCTCCCTTGCAAGGTAAAACGTGTTCCTCTTTCACAACCTCTTTTAATCACAATCTATTTACAGATGCAGATATTCTTACAATTAATTGCTGGGTCCATTCTTTAAAAATATTCTTCAATATTTAGACCAGGGGTAGTCAACCTTGGCTCTTTTATGACTCGTGGACTTCAACTCCCAGAATTCCTGAGCCAGCACAGCTGGCTCAGGAATTCTGGGAGTTGAAGTCCACGAGTCATAAAAAAGCCAAGGTTGACTACCCCTGATTTAGACAAACCCTGCGTCTTCATCTCCCAGAGCTCTAAAACTGCCAGAGACCAGTGTCCTATGGTCTCCTCACCTAGGAGCAACTGTCTGGTGCACTTGTGAATAAGCTGAAGTCCTCTTCTTGTTTGGAAAGCAATTATGAAGAGCTGGCCTACTCACCAGCGCTTCGACCATTTCTTTCCCAGAAGTCTCAAGGCTCTATTGTTGAAACAATGCCATTTAATAAGATTTCAGAGACAGAGTTGTCTTTGGTTGACTCTTCTCCTCTGGAACAGTATTGTCCCTGAAAATCACAGGGCCCAGAGCCTACTTTTAAGCAAGCTCCAAAGATCTGGCTGTTCCAGAAGACCTTCACAGGGTGATTTGTGACTCTCTTTGCTGAGACTGATATCTTCATTTGGAACTATAATTTCCCTTTTTTTAAAAAAAAAAATGTGTTCATTATACAATTGTGTGCCACCTCAAATGGTCATAGCAGCTTCTAAATTGATTACATCAAAGAAATAATTCACAGTTATCTACAATCTATCCATCTACTTCCCTACCTTCTAGCAGGATGTTTTAGCTGCCAGGCATTAGGATTGGAAGAAAGTATACCCCAAGTGTTAACCACATACCTGGGGAGGAGGTAGACCACCAGCCCCAGCAGGGCACACTGGAAGCATTTTCTTGATATTGCCTTTGCTACATATGCACGACGGGGAGGGATTCTCCATTGTCCAGTTGCCTTTCTGGAAAATTTCCATGACATTCTGAGGCACCGGAACTTGGCTCCACTCTTCTTCTCCCACAGAACAAGGAGCCTCTCTATAAAAAAAAACAGAAGATCAAGAGAAAAGACTTTCATTCAGAAATCTTACACTAGCCATCCAGATGGCAGGACTAAGAAGCCCCGGTTCCTATCACCAGTTTTATATATACATATACACGGATTAGGCAAGTGATTAATCCTTTCTATTTACATCCATTTGCACTATAGGCATAGATGGCCTGAATGTAGTTTGTAAAACTTACAATTTTCAACTTCCACCTTAATACAGATAAGTAGCAACTGATGTGGCTGCTAAGCTTTTGTTGAGCTTTGCCCAAGCCCTTCCCGTTATATTGTTACAAACCATTATGCTAGAATAGACTTTCCCAATCTGGTGTCTTCGGGGCCTGCAGCTACCCAAATTTCCCATCAGGTCAACCACTAGCTATACCAGCTAGGATTTCTGACAGCTGCAAATTCAGTATAAATTCAAGATCAAGAAATTCTTGTCAGAATTACATAAACCACATTCTGTAGTTGCATTCTGTATTTTTCCCAAAATTACTGAATACACAACATAGTCATACTAGTGATTGCCAAGAGATCTACGATGTATTTCAAGTGTTCTCCAGTTCTTAACTAGCTTTCTTCAGTTTATGAAGTGTTTTGCTAATACTCCACTTACGGAATGGAGTATCCTTCCATGCAACGGGTCCCGAAACCAGGTTTGTTGAGAAGAGCGCTCAGAAGCTTTTGAGTAGAGGTGTCTTGTGGAGCATCATTGCTGTGGATGCATCAAAAGCAAACCATCAAGGCTTAAAATTAATTCAAAGGCAGAGCAAACAGAAACAGAGGAATAGGAACAATTCAGGAAGGTGAAGCTATTTGTTTCAAACCAAGATTAATGTTCCTTCATATTAATTCACATTAATTCCATAGCCCTTCCATGTTTATTTCTATCTCCGCTCAGAATTCCAGTAAGATTTCCCAGAAGTATATGATATGATGTACTTATAACCTGGTATTAAATTGGTTTTGTAATATTTATCTCATCTGACTTAATCTGTGAGCTTGAGCCTGCACACCCTAACATAGTAGGTTATATCAGATTTCTGGAACTATGGCTTAATATTTACCTGATAAATGTGTACTGCTGATCATACATCCAAGGGTGCAATTCGAGGGTGGGATATTTTCCAAAGGGAGGAACAATCAGACTGAACACAAGAGCAATGCAAACAAAGATGGCAGGGAGAACAATCTGAAACGAGGCAGAGAGGAGACAAGAGAACAGGCTCACAATTTTTTTCAAAAATAACGAAGAAGCTTTCCACAACATGCTAAAAGCTCAGTTCCTATCATTTCCAATATTTAATCAACAATGTCAAACTGAACTGCAGATTCCTTTGTCATACCGCTTTCAACAGCAGAGGAAGTGAATCGTCCAGAAAAAAAACGCAAATAATTGCACTTTTTTGGGAGGGGGGGCCTTTCCCCCGTCACATTTCAAACTTCATCCCACATTAAAAACTTTGATGTCATTAATTCAGCGGGGGAAAAACCCCAGAAAAGCATTATTCATCCTGCAAATTAGCATTCTTGTCAATATAGAGTTTAATAGATATTGATGCTGGGTGGGGAATAAGAATCTGATTTTAACCCCTCATGTGTAAACCACCAGCATTCAAGTTTCACACTGAGAAAAACTAAGCTTCCAGACAGTAGTGATCAATAGTAATTGATTTACTAAGCAGAAGAGGAACTAGTTTTTGAAATTCCTATACTGGTAGTCCTCATCTTATGACCATTCATTTAAGGACCATTCAAAGTTATGATGGTACCAAAAAAAAAGCTTACAGTTACAACTGTTGCAGTGTCCCCCACGGTCGTATGATCGCCATTTGGGCCCTTCCCAGCTGGCTTCTAACAATGGGGAAGCCAGATTTGCTTAAGGACCCCATAATTCATTTGACATCTGCAGCAATTTGCTTAACAACCATGGCAAGAAAGATCGTAAAATTGGGCATGACTTAGCAATGGAAGTTCTAGTCCCAATCGTGGTTGTAAATTAAGGACTACCTGTAGAACTGAACCCTTCAGAGAGAACCCAACTCACCTGGGCAAAAATGCCCTTTCTGCTGCGCTTGGCGATAAGTAGCCGCTTCCAAAGTAGAGCTACAAACTGTTGCTGGGTCAGCTTCCAGCCCTTCATCTGACTGGATCCTTTGCCATCCATTCCGCTCAGAAGGTCAGTTTCCCGAGATTCTGCAGGCAAAGAGTTGGGAGTTAATAAAACTTTCATCTATTTCACTAAGCTGAAGAACTTCTAGGTAAGACAGTTTTTTTACATTAGCATTGCCTAGAGCCTTGAAACCTTTCCTCTCTTACTTAGCATAGGAGAATCGTATGGCTCACTAGATGTAGCTGCATTACAACCCCACAAGAGCCCCAGCCAGCATGGTCCATGTTTAAAGAGGCTAGGAGACGCAGTGGTTAGAGCTGGTAGATTTTCCATCTCTGCAGCAGATAATTTTTTTTTCCAAAATGTAGATGTAGATAACCTTTATTGTCATTTTTTTTTTTACTGTGGGCACATTGGCATACATTAAAAATGAAATTTAGTTGCTTGCTCACAAAAGTGCACACATACGTAACACACATTTAAATATGCTATATACAACATATGTATAAACTTTCACCCTTACATATAAGTAACATATAAATATTAATCACTTGAATACATAACGGAAAGAGGAAGCTTTAGAGTTCACAAGGTTAACATTGTATGGAACGAAACTGTGACTGAATCTGGAAGTTCTGCTACATATACCACAAAACCTCCTCCCAGAAGGTAACAAGGAAAACAGGTCGTGAAGAGGATGTGTAGTGTCCCAGACAATCTTGCGGGCCCTGCTCAAGCAACGCTTATATGCTATGTCCTGGACGGGAGGGAGGAAACTGCCAATGATCTTTTCAGCCATCCTCACCACTCTCTGCACCGCCTTCCTGTCTGAAGCAGCGACGCTTCTACACCAGACTGTGATGCTGTATGACAGGATGCTCTCAATTGCCTTTCTTTATTGCAAAGACTTTTTCAAGGTTTTAATAGACCTCTTTGGTAAATCCTATGGAAAATCATTGCCCAAGTCATTGGCTTGCTTTGTCTTTTGTATTTTCTCTTTGATTTTCAAATCTTTAACCACATCTTTAACCACATTCAATAGAAAGTCTTTATCAGGGTCATTTTCTTAACTTTTCTCTATTTTGTAATCCACAGTTTTGTATTTCCAGTTTGAATGCCTTGTATATTTTGTAACTCACACTTTTAAAAATCTAATATTTCCGATTCCGTTAAGCAAAATTTGTTTCAGACCTGTCATTCCTTCATTCACATCATTTATCTATCAGTCTTTCAATCACATAGAAGCATTGTTACTGATAAAGTTGATATTGTGGCTACTGATTTCTGGGCCCATTCTTCAAAGATAACCTTTAATATTTTAAACGTTGTATTATTTTGTGCCGTTTTGTAAATTCCAATCTGAAAGGAAAGGTCTTTTTTTTTTGTCTTCTGCCTGAACTTTAGTCCCCTCAAGTGTCCAATTTAAATCATAAGGTCTCTTAACTCTGTTATGACTTGCTGTAGTCAAAACAATTTCTATGGTGAATTCCAAAAGCTTATAGTAAAAGTTTCAATATTCCAAATTTGAAATAGCCTTAATTTTTTGGGATAACTTTATCATTTGTTTAGCCTTTTCTCTGTGTAAAAAAGATGTTGAGACTCTAGAAAGAGTACAGAGAAGAGCAACAAAGATGATTAGGGGACTGGAGGCTAAAACATATAAGGAACGGCTGCTGGAATTGGGTATCTCTAGTTTAATGAAGAGAAGGACGAGGGGGGACATGATAGCAGTGTTCCAATATCTCAGGGGCTGCCACAAAGAAGAGGGAGTCAAGCTATTTTCCAAGGCGCCTGAAGGCGGGACAAGAAGCAACAGATGGAAACTAATCAAGGAGAGAAGCAACCTAGAACTAAGGAGAAACTTCCTGACAGTTAGAACAATTAACCAGTGGAACAACCTGCCTCAGAAGCTGTGAATGCTCCAACACTGGAAGTTTTTAAGAAAAGACTGGACAGCCATTTGTCCGAAATGGTATAGGGTTTCCTGCCTGAGCAGGGGGTTGGACTAGATGACCTCCAAGGTCCCTTCCAACATTATGATGATGATGATGATGATGATGATGATGATGATGATGCATTTTGCGCTGAAAACATTTCAGATTTGAAATCCTTTGCATGTCTCCTTATATATGCTGTCTCAAAATCATACCTTGGTTCTTAAGTTGACACATAAACTCCCAATTAAAAGTATAGTTTGATTCCTTTGCTCAAAGAAAAGTTCCGAGAAAATCAAAACTTTGAATTCTCAGATTGAGTGAAAAGATCATCCATTCTGTCTTCTCCTTGTTATGACAAATAGGTCAAAGATGCTCGTGTATTAATTAATATTCCTAGAGTTCTAGAAAGATTTTGAAAACCTGGATTTAGTCCAGATTTGGGGTTATTTGTCTAGCGCTGGTGTTTTCTTTGCTTTTGCAGTTTCTAAGATATTTTCAATCTGGATTGTCCTTCTGATTTGGTGTTTTTATCTGTTTTTATGCTTTTATCCAGTTTTGTACACCACCCAGAGTGCATAGGGGTTTAATAAATTCAAATAAACAATAAAAATATGCCATTATTTAATTGGTACAACCATAACTTCTTTCAGTTAATGAATGCTTAATTTGCAAATAATTTCCAATACACTTCAAAACCAATTAACATTTCCCCCCCTTTGTCCACATAATTTACACAGATTGAAAATGCTTCCAAGGTCCCTTCCAACTTTTTATTATTATTATTATTATTATTATTATTATTATTATTATTATTATTATTATTATTATTATTATTATTATTATTATTATTATTATTATTA